TCTGAGGCAGTTGACAATTTTAGTGGAAACAATGCTTTATCTTTTCGCTATGTAGAAAATCGCATCAAGCACAACAAAAAAGGAGTATTTGTCATCAACGGTAGTTATAAAATTTTTCATGGAAAGTTTTCTATAATTTAATGTAGAACTATAAATAATTCCTTGGTTCATAGATAGCAATACATTAGTCACATTTAATTGTAGGTTGACTATTTTTATGGCTTCTAAAATGCTTACTGTGGTGTGACCTGCACAGTTGTCAATAACTAAAACTATTTTTCTAATTTTCTGGGAAAATTTTTCGTTTGAATTATGTACTGCCTTTTCGCATAGCTCTGAATTATCAGAGCTTTGGGTTTGGCAATGTAGTTCACTGGCAAAAATTTTATACCCTTAAAATGTCAGTAGTTTTTTACTTTCCTTATTACAATAGGTTTCAACTTCTTACTGCCATCAATATTAGATTCCAGAAAAAGTCTTTTCTCACTCTTTTTTCCCACCAATGCACTTTTTTTTCTTGAAAGAAAGAGTTTTGTTGGGGAAGATTCTATAAAACAATCTGCATTCATTCATATTAAAAACATCACTTGGACCATATCATTCATATACTTCTTTTATCACTATGTCTTTCTAGTCCAGAACAACCTCCGGATCAATATCGGATGCTTCTTCCTTGAATTTTTGAATGATAAGTCATGCCTTTTCTTCATCTTTTCCAAACATATTAGCTGAAAATTTTTATTACCAAGTTCTACAGCACAGCAATTTGAAGAGCTTTTTCTCTCAAAATTAAAATAGAAATCTGCTCATTTTGTGTCCTGGCATATTTTATCCGGGAGATTAAAGCTTTCTTGATTTCTTTAAAGACACTCTTTGCTTTTCTTTTTTGTCATTACAATATATGCTGTCTTTTGATGAAAAATTTCATTTAATGATGTTCAAGGTATTTGCCAAGCTTTTGCAAAGGCAGCTTCTAACTGATTTAATTTTTCAAAATCCACAATGATTTTCTCTTTTACCAAAGATGTTGAAATTTTATGCTTTCCTGAGATTCTGCTGGAAAATTCAATTATCCATGTTTCCACTTTAACTGAAGAAAACCAGGAATGAGTCATGAAAACTTTGAGTTGAACACATGTACAAGATTTGCCTATCTGCCTGTTTTCCCACAAGTGTCAGTTATTGGGTGAATGGAGTGGAAGAAGGAAGGGGGACTGACAATGCAAAGTAAGCTCAGTTTCTCTGAGGCTGAAAGGACCTTAACCTTGAAAAATAAATATATATAACATGTCTTATGTCTAAAAACTGGCATTTTAAGCAGGTATAACAGTTTTAAAATGATGATTTATCATATTTTTTTAAATCATATTTTCCTATCCAGTTGATCAGGACTTTACAAAAAATATGGTTCAAGCAGTGTAATGATTTAATCAAATAGTGGTTTATTGAAGGTTGACTGTAAAATATTTAGCAAAAATAAACCAGTTAAGATTTCTGAGTACTTTATGTGCCCATGACAATATTTTGACTAGATAAAAATCACATTAGGCTAAATTTTGTATTGTAATTTATTATTTGCATGACTCCTAAAATTCTTTCCTTTCTTTGTTGATTCTTTATGCTTTTGCAATTTTTAAAACTGATTTTTTTATTTTATGTAAAAACATTAATCATGGGCAGTCTTTAAAGTGTCAGTCAACTAAATTTAAATTGTTTTTAACAGTTTGTGGTACAGTCAAAAGTCGTTAATTCGGACACCCATAATCCGGACCTCAAAGCTACAAACTTTCTGCGCATGCGTCGCGTTCACGCATGCGCACAGGCGTTTACGAGAGCGCATATGCCCCTTACAGCTGCGAATATGTTTGTGCGCATGCGCGTTTAATGTGTAACGGAGTTATACGTTAAGCTAAAGTTATCTAATTCAGTTAATGTTGCAGATTGCGTTGTTCCTTAATCTTCGAATTTGATCCGGCTTATTATTTTTTGCAGACTGTTAGAGCAATTTTATAAAAGTAAGCTTGAACTTTCGATTATGTCAAATAGAATTTCCGATATATATTTACTACAAAGCGAAAGTATGTTTAGAAATCCGAAACCTGTTTATCAATTTCACGCTGCTCTGCGGCAGAGGGGCAGGGGGGGGGCAGAAACGTCATTATTAGATTATGATAGATTAGAAAGATTATGTCAAATAGAATTTCCGATATATATTTACTAATATGTAATTTGTATCTACAAAGCGAAAGTATGTTCTGAAATCTGTTTATCAATTTCACGCTGCGGATTGGAAGTTGATCTGTCAGCACTATCCTTATCTTCAGAGCAGATGTTTTTATTTTATTTGGTTTATAATTCCGTACTAAGTGTAGTATTTCATCTCGATATACTCCGTCTTTGATATGATTTAAATCAAGTTCCTCGTCATTATAATTCGCTTCCGATAGTGAAGAAAGTGACCCAGAGGTTATTGAAAACGAAAACATTTCGATTGACAAATTAGTCGGTATTCTCAACACAGCAATTATAGGACTTGAACAGTGGAACTTTGTAATCTGAACAAGAAATTATGTCTGTTTAATAGAATTAAAGAGAAAGTATTATCACATGAAACCAAGCAACTTACATTGAAGGAAATGTTTAATAAAGTAAACAAATAAATATTAAGCTTTTTCTTTTTGTAAATTTTGATACCCTTTAGATCATAATTGTTCTTTATTTCATAAATTACGGTTTCATATTTTTAATTTTGTAATTTCTGCATGCCATCTTACCAGATTTAAACTGATGATCGATAATCCGGAATCGCCGAAGTCCCGACGAGTCCGGATTAACGACTTTTGACTGTATAAGAAACAAATATGTGGGTAGTTCGGCTATGTATACATAATGATCAATATGCAACTATATGGATAATTCTGCCATTTGTGCATGACAGCTATATGAAAGATATTAACATTGCTAATATTCAACTTTCTTTCAGCCTTATGCAATACAAAACTTGATGAGATGCTTGAGATATTTTAAGAGAACCATTTGATTGAAGTTTTAATCTTAATGTTTTTTTTTTTTTTTAATTATTTATTTCAAATACAAAATGCCTGTGAACAAAAGCTTAGAAGTAGAACTGGAACTGAAAAGTTTCAAGCAAAAATTTGATGCAGTGCAAAATTTCCATCTAATCAATGGTCAGTCTAATAAATAAACAATGGGCTAACTATGAGCTCTATTGATAACTAATGCTATAAACATAGTTTCACAAAATAATATTTTAAAAATTGTTTTGAGAAAATTTCTTATACACAACTGTGTTTCAGCATCACACAACTGGGATTAACTGTGAGCAGTGTGAAGATGGTTATTATCGTGCTTCTGATATTCCGAGAAACCACACAAAGCCATGCAGAAAATGCCAGTGTACTGGTGTTGGTATGACTGGATTTTGTGTAAAAGATGATGGTCATCTTATTGAAGGATTGGTAAGAAAAATTTCTATCATTGTTTATAAAATGCATTGTATGCCTTTATAATTTTATTAAACTAATAATTATACAAGCAAAATAAAAAGTTTCACACATCTTGGATTTTTAACTGGGAAATATTCACGAACATTTAAATCACAAGTGCTCACTTTAGTCATTATATTTATGATAGTCTAATGCATAGTAGAATGCAATGAATCTCTCCAAATTTGCACTCATAATAGACTTTATTACTTAACTGTAGGTTTAGCTAAGTGACAGTTGTAATATTATTTCACAGTATAATGTAACCATGGGATTCAGTAATGCATACCTAGCTTATTGCATCTTAGGATTTGTTAAATGTAAATTTGTTGTGGTGGTACAATGTAGCTGTTGAATAGAAGCAGTTCATTTAGATTCATTCATTTGTAGTGCATTGATTTGTTGCTTGAGAACTAAGAATTTTCTACATAAAACTTAAAATTTTGTTATGCGCATAAGTTTAAGATTTTAGTATTGCAGTTTTCTAATAGCTGCCTTTGTATGACATTAGCTATAGAGATGTAGACTTTTATCACAGTTATATCATATTAGCAAATTTGCCAAACGGAAAGCTGAATATCTCATAAGTATATATCAATTTTATGAAAAATATTTGTTCAAAGCTTTTAAAAAAGCATTCTTTTTAGCAGCTTAATTTTTTAAGCCAAATAGAAATAAGTGATGAATATATTGCAGTGGTAAAGACAGATTTGTTATTTAATACAGATACTTAAAGGTAATTAAATTAATTTTTGACATTAATTAGTATGTAAGTAATTTGCTCTTATGTGCAATTTTTAACAATAAAAACAAATTCATATTGTAGTAACAGTTTCTATATTTTTTTAAATTTTATATTAAATAAATGAAAAGACTGGAATTATATTTTTCATTGTTATGGAAAACATTTTTCATGTCTAAGGAATAAGAATCTGAATAATATCAGATAAATCATTTTAAATTTCTATTGCAACCTTCTTTTGTGTTATTCTGATAACATTAATTAAACAACTAATTAAATTTTTTTCCAGGTATTTAAAATGCTAAATATACATATTAGTATAATTTGTTGTACTTAATACAAAAATTACAGTGAAAAGTTACAGTTTTCAAGGTAATTAAGAAATTCTCAACAATATTTTACTCACTGGAACTTGCAAAAAATTAAAGTTAATACAATATTCTTTGTGCTTTGATATGCTAAATGCAAATAATTAAATTCCTTTATGTGCAGAGTTCACAGAGATATTAGGAATACTTTCTTGGATTTTATAAGAAATTTAATAGCAAATGCTATTTTATCCAATAAGGAATCATGAATCACACAAACAAGTGAATTCTATATTGTAGTTGCTTCTTGAATTGTTTGAAAACTATGGAATATTGATTGCTAATATGCATTATAGCTGTGATTGTCAGACTTCTTTTACATTGTATCCTGTGGGCTTGATTAAATAAATGAAAAATACCCTCAAGAAAAGTTTTAAAATTTTTATGACTTAGTAAATTATCAGTGCTGTTTGAAATCAGCAAATGAAACAGAGCTGTTTTAGGAATTCTACTTTTACCATTATCTCTTATTAAAAATATTCTGACCAGTTAAAAAAAATTAAGTAATTTCCTATTAGTAACATCTCCAGAGAAAGGTGTTATTTCCAAGCAGAAAAATTAGCTAATTGTTGTCAATAATGGAAGGAAAAAGTTGCTGAAAGTAATTTTGAAAATTTTCAACAGAGTTGATATTTATACTGTAAAATTTTCAATAAAGCTGAAAGTATATACATTATATACACTTAGATATGAAAGTTTGTAATATTAAATTTAATTAATAATGTACACATCGAGGCGTAGAAGTCATAAAATTGAATACATATGGATTATGAGAAATCTATACCTGTAGTTTAAAAATACTTTTAAAACTATTTTTAGGTTTATATTACTTTTACTTGTATATAAACAGCAAATTAATCTTAATGCCATTTAACAAAGGAGGAAATACATTAACCAGACAAACTCATCTAGCCAAATAGTTTAGCTTCTATTCTTGGGTGTATTAATAGAAAACTACCAACATTAATTAAAATTGTCTGCAGAAAAAAGTATAAACTTTCTTTAATAATTCACTTAAAAATACAGAAAATAGGATACTTGAATGTTAATTTTAGAGCTGAGTCTTTATTAAGTAAAATTTTTACAGTGAAAAATTTGTGCCTGCATTTCTTGATGCAACTGTTTAAATAAGTTCACTTATAGAGATATTAATTTTTTTTGGGGGGGAGAGATGTGTGTGGAAGTGGTAGTTAAGAAACAGGAAATATGAAAAATTAGCTATGCCCTTTTTGGGTTTTGAATGATGGAATTTCCAGTTTTCTAGCTGGATATACTATCATTTATGCCATGAGAGCTTGCACAGGAGAATGTGATAATTCATATTCTCTCTTATTTAATAGGTGACTGGGTAGAGGCATAATGTGGAATTCACTAGAATCAAGTAGTAACAAATTAATGTATGCCATACTTTAGTTTGAGTGCCACTGTAGGGGTATGGGGCTTTGCAAAACCAGAGAACATAATAAATCAACTATGGTCTCACTGAGATCAAAATCACAGATCTTCCAATTTGTTGGCTAGACATGTTACCGCATACACCACAAAAGCACATTTTGTAGAATTTTATTATTCCTTATGCATTCAGCCATATCAAAATATCAGCAATAAAAATCTGTCTGGTCAATTACTGATTATCTGTCCTTAAATTCACACTTGTCTTCAGAAAAGGAAACTTAAATGTCTTATCTCTGTTTATGAAAAACAAGCTAGACAAATTTTCTTTGTAAAGATATTGGTATGGAAGAGAAGACTGTGTTCGCTATACATTTTTTTCTAATGATATTGCAAATAATCTGAATCTTCACATTAATGGTCTAAGTATTACTCTCATATTATTTTGGTATTTTCTGGAGACTGTAGACTTTCTTTGAAGAATGCAGTGGATGAATTTTGCCCTAGTGCCACCTTTATTGAAAATTTTTATCAGTATACCTGTATGTCACATCTTGTGCACTATCAGTACAGATCACGGCATACACTCTTCCTGTATAACATTTCCTTCTTTTAATTACTGAGCTGTCAAATCAATCAGATATCTCCAGTTTGATACGAAAACTTCTCTCAAAATACATGAATAGTAATTTTTCTAGTATAATGAATGGGAGTTTGATTGCTATTGCTTTATCCTTATCTTTCAATATTGTGCTTAAAATGTCAAGCATTCTCTTTCAGAATATGTTTTTATTTTGTAGTATGATTATCAAAGATGTTAAACTAACACTTCTGGTTATGATTTCTTTTTTGAATGAATTAAATTTAAAACTACTTGAACCACATATATGAATTTAAAAGACGTATATTTTTTCCATATTTATTAGCAACTCTGATAAAAAATAGATGTCTTCATGTGTTGTAAAATAATTTTTAGGCTTTATATAATGTTCATCAGACTTTCAGTACCCATGATGACAAAAATCCCCCTTAGCAATAAATGTCAGAACTAATTGAGACATATACTGTTTTAGTCTGCTTAAAGAGAAATAAAGAGTGGTCACTAATACTACCTCTGAAGAAAACTGTAGAATAATTTAAGGGGTTATAATATAAAACATACAGCCTTAGAAAACAGAGAATGATAAAATAGCAATCTGGTGAAAAATCTGTCATTGAAAGTTTTAAGAAATATTTGAAAATGCACTATGAATATTTTATTAATTAAACTTTTACTATGCAGATACCATTAAAGAAGTTAAGTTTATGTTATATTTACACAACCTTTTCACCTACAGTGTACAGTGCCCGTCCACTGTTCTTAAAAATTTCTATGACTTATTTCAAGACATTTTATAATTGATAAATTATATCTATATTCAATATTTAAGGTAATATTGTAGCTGTTTTTTAAAAAACTCACTGTATGTGTGATAACAACTTTGAATATGATATAGATGATAATGCAATTAGATGGATACAATCACAGCTTTTCATACAGATTCAATCACAGCATTTTAACTAATCATCTTTATTTAAGCATTACTTCTAAAATAATAACCATTATGAAACACTGAAAAGCAATGTGATAAATGCACTTAGTATTTACTTCATATATTTGCAGTATTATAACTGATGACAGAAGAACAAGAAACTGCAGGATACATATTGCATAACACAAGCAGAAGAATAATTAAAATTATTTATTAATGTTAGATGAAGAATGGTGAACTTACTTTAATTCTCAATAAATGAATAGTATCAGCCCATTACTACTTATTATTTGATAAACTATAATTTTGGTTTGGGTACTATTGGGTGAAAAACTTCACCTTTGCTTTTGCTGTTATGTAAGTGCTTTGTGATTTGCATTAAATAAGAATCATATAGTTACATACTATGTAGAGACTTAGGATTTTTTTTTTCGGAAGCAGGAGAAATGAAAAATTAACAATGGCTTCACCGGGAATCGAACTGCGGACCTCTGGAATATCAGCCCAATGTGCAGAACCACTACACCAGCGGTTCTTAACCTATGGGTCGCGACCCAAAATTGGGTCACGAAGCATATTTTTTGGGTCGCGCTAAGTCAAATTAAAAAAAACCTTTTAATATACAAAAATAAGTAATACCAACACCTACTAGAAGAGTTTTTTTCTAATACAAGTTATTCTCTAAAACAATGCATTGGTTTTACCGCTCTTCGCGAATGGCCTTCTAGAAGTGACATCCAATTCCTGTTTTATAGCTTTCTTCTATGAGGTTTGTTGGTAATCTCACGGCCATAATACTGCATTGCTTACGTGCGCGCAGACACAATAAGGTTGTAGGTAACATAGTCTTCTCTGGTAGTGACACCTTTTGGTAAAAATTAAAAGTGCTTTCAATCAGCTACTTTTACTTCGACTTTTAAGAAACCGGGGAATTTCCGTTGGTTGTAAACATGTAAGCAGATATTATCGATTTAACTCGTGTGAATAAAGAAGTAATAATGGAAAATTGTATTCTGTTAATTTCTGTTTGCATATTAATGATATTTACGTAAAAAAGTTGCACTCCGCTGCAAGTTCTTTGTCAAAAACTCATTTCTGTGTAATAATGGAAAATTGTATTCTGTTAATTTCTGTTTGCATATTAATGATATTTACGTAAAAAAGTTGCACTCCGCTGCAAGTTCTTTGTCAAAAACTCGTTTCTGTGTATTATGTTGTGAAGAACAGTGGAATGTGTAATAATCATGGAACGTGAATACAAGCATTTTAGAAACAATTTTTGCCTGTTTATTAAAAGTCCAGTGATCAAGCTGCAGTGCGTATTGTAAAATTGTAATCACCCTAAAATGGCAAAACGTGAATACAAGGAAGCATTTTTAGAATTAGGGTTTACTTGCATTTATGATGGAGGAATGAACAAGCTACAATGCGTCTTGTGCAGTGAAATACTAACTAATGAATCGATGAAACCGAACAAACTTAAAAGACATTTTGATGCAAAACATAAAAATTTTTCCTTTGAGGGAAAAGATCGTACTTTTTTCAAAAGAAAAGAAGCCGATTTAAAAAGACAGCGTTTAGATGCACCAAGTAGTAATAGTTTTCTAATTTCTACCAAACAAGCTACACTTGCTTCTTTTTATGTGGCTTGGCATATTGCAAGACAAAAGAAACCCCATAATATTGCTGAAAAAAACTTATAAAACCTGCTGCCATTGACATGGCACGTATCATGTGCGGAGATGAAATTTCAAAGAAATTACAAAAGGTACCATTATCAAATGATACAATTCATTTACGAATTAATGATATGTCATTTGATATTAAGAATCAACTTATTTCTGCTATAAAAATTGCTGGTTTATTTAGTATTCAACTGGATGAAATGACAGATGTAAGTAACGATGCTCAACTAATGGTTTATGTGCGGTATCCAGGGTTAACAGATATACAGGAGGATTTTTTATTTTGCAAATCAATGTCAACAAAAACTAGAAGTGAAGATATATTTCTCATTGTCGATTTGTTTTTTAAAGAAGAAGGATTAAATTGGAATCAGTGTTTCAGTATTTGCACCGACGTATTCAGTATTGCTGCCATGACAGCATCTCAAAAGGGTTTTTCGACAAGAGCAAAACAAATGAATTCACAAATTTTTTCGGTTCATTGTTTTTTACATAGACAAAATCTTGCTTCAAAAAATTGCCCTGAATTTTAGTATCGTTTTGAATGAAATTGTTATGGTAGTCATTTATAAAATCAAGAGCTCTTAACTGTAATTTTTTCCACGAACTGTGTTCAGAATTTGGTGCAGAATACGAACATTTATTATATTACTCTGAAGTTAGATGGCTGTCCCGGGGCAAAGTTGTTCAAAGAGTATTATCATTGCGGACAGAAGTCGAATTTTTTTTTTAGAGAAAAGAAACACCCATTAGCATCTAAATTCTCCGAGTTGAAGTGGATTACTCAAGTTGCTTATTTGGCAGATATTTTGTTTGAAATAAATAATCTAAATACGTCTATGCAAGGACGTAATCATACTATTATTGAATTAACTGAAAAAATTACATGTTTTAAAAATAAACTCAAATTATGGAGAAATAAGGTTGAAGTAAAGAAACTTGCTTCATTTCCGACTCTTAATTTACTTGTTGAAGACAAGAATATTAATATCACAGATTTTGAAATACAGAAAATTATTATCAATCATTTAGAAAAACTAATAGTAGACTTTGATCGGTATTTTCCTGCAGATGATGTTTTTAAATATAATTGGGTTCGAATGCCATTTGATTTTGACGTAAGTGATTTGCACGAGGAATTTGTTAATATTAATCAATTTCAAGAACAATTAATAGAAATTCAAAGTGACCAAGCACTTCGATACAATTTTTACAAAAACACTCAATCTTTATGTGCTTTCTGGTTAAATCTAAAAACCGAAAAGCCAATAATTGTTAAAGAAGCCCTAAGAGTATTACTGCCCTTTTCAACAACATATATGTGTGAGGCTGGTTTTTCGGCTCTCTGTGTAATCAAAAACAACCACCGGAACAAGTTAAATCCAGAAATAGATTTAAGGTGCTCTTTGACAAGCATTCAACCCAGGTTTGCAGATCTTTCAAAATGTATTCAAGCACAAAGTTCTCATTAAAGCGTATAAAATGTTATTAAGATTAAATTTCAATTATTTTTAAAAGTTTTAAATTTATTTAGTTTGGTCAAAAAATAATAATAAAACACTTGATTATTATTAAATTTTCTTGGATCAAAAGTACTTTTGTTTAACTTTATTATTATAAAAAAAATAAAAATTTGTAAGTTAAATAAGTCATCATTGTAAGATTAAAGGTTTTTACAAATATGCTCTAAAATAAAGCAATGAAAAAATATTGACTTTTTTTGGGTCGCGACATAAACATTTTTCTCAAATTTGTGTCGCGGCTCAAAAAGCTTAAGAACCACTGCACTACACCACAAAGGCATGCTAAGAAGGAGGGAGAAATACCTTATATACTCCCCCTTTTAAAGGGCAACTGGGGTTTTTTAGGGTACTCAATCACCAAATCCTGGGTGTGGGGATTCATGATCCATGACTCTTTTAGTTCGGGAAAATCACTACACTACAAAGACGCTTTAGGAAAGCGGGAGAAATACCTTATAACTAATTTTGGGATGAAGTGTTTTAAAAGAATTTATTGTAAGCATTTTTAGGGTAGACTTCAAAAGAAAGACTTCAGGAATGGCTACAAATTAAAGTTAGAATTTTGTATTTTATTTATGATTAAATTTCCATCTCCATCCAAAGTTTAATTTTAAAATGACTGTAACAAAATATAATATTTTTTAGTGACATTTTTTTTTACACTTGTATCCATGTTATGTGTCTAGTTTTTTTTTTTTTTTTTTCTTTTCCAAAAATATGATTTTTAGATAACTTTATTTTCAACAAATGTTCAATTCTAGTTTATTGTACTGTGAATTTTGTTTATATTTAAATATTGATGTGTATATATTTTACACTGTTTAGCGACCAGGATTCTTTGTTATTTCCAGTTTCTCATTTCACTGTGGGGTAAGGTGAATGACTATTCTAATTTGTGTGCTTTGAAAATGCATAGAAGTCTGCCTGCAACTTGTGTAGATGCACTGCTTGTGTAGATGCACCCTTTATGTTTGCCTGATTTTTTAAATTTTTTATTATTGCACTGTGGAACCAATTTTGTCTTGTTTGCCATATTATCTTTGCAGAATCTGCATGTTGTCATGGGCTTTCAATGTTTGCATGCTTTACGCTAGTCTTATTTTGTGCATTCATTGTGGAAATATTTTTTTTAATTGTGAATTCTTTTCTTTTCTGATTTTAAATTAAGTTGCTTTACATGGCAATTGTACATTTTTAAATAAATAAATAATTCAACACAGTTGGATAGTAGTACAAAAGAAAAGTATAAACCTCTCTACCTTAATTATATTTCTTGTAGCTCGGATTTCAAATTATTGAGTTACTTTGACAAATAATGTTTTTTCAACTAAGGAAAAGTTCAAAAACATACTATTAATACCTAAAGCACTGGAATGCATTCATTTAAAAAATAATAGAGATTTTACTTGTTTGAAAAAAAGTATTTGCATTGAGTATTAATAATTTCCCTTTACCTTCCATTCACAAACTGTTTTCTTGAATATTGGTACAGTTATTCTTAAACATATTATTTTTATTACTCTTCTGAAGATTGTCAGATGTGGTTTATTAATATATTTATTTCTTAATCTTATGAGTAAATTTCTGTTTTTTTTTATTGGCATTTTATTACTTGTATGAAAAATGAAGCCAATGGAAATATGTTTTTATTTTTAAATACAAATACTTTATTTTTGGAGGGTGATAACTTTTTAAAGAGAAAAACTAAAGCTGAAATGAAAAGCACAAACTTGATTCTTATTTTAATAAGTTTGTTAATTAATTGTAATTAATTATTTGTTGAAAAATGTTTAATATTGAATCTTAGCAGAATAACATTTCAATATTTATAAGTTCAATCAATCTGAATATTTTAGCATGCAGAATGCATTCAGAATTTATTAGTTTAGTTAATCTAGATTTTTTTTTTATTATGGAAGACGTTAAATTTTTATTAAATGTATTTGTTTTTGAACTAAATACATTTTAAGCTGTATGGTCATTTTATTTCAATCTTGCATTACTATTCCAGTTTTTTAAGTCACTTCTTTAAATAAAACAGTACAGCTTATTTCATTAGATAGCTATTCTATTGTTATATATGAAGGCTTTATTTGAGCTTGAAAAAAAATCGCTTCAGGAAAGGAGGAAAAATCCATTTTTGCAAAATATATGTATTAGTTTTATTTTAAATTAATTCTTAATTGTTACAATTTCTAATTTTTATTCACTAATTTATTAAAATCTGAACCTTTTATTTACTCTTGAATGTTGCATTTCCTTTTTCATTCATCCTTAAAATTTTCCTTATTAATTTGAGGAAAGTATGACAGGCTATTCAAATTAAAGCTAAAAATAGTAGTAATAATAATCTGTTAAAATTTTCAAAGAACAAATTAAAAAATAGACAGAAATTTTTTGATGTTTTATATAGTCAAAAGTCGTTAATCTGGACTCGTCAGGACTTCGGCAATTCCGGATTATAGCTCACTAGTTTAAATCTCGTAAGATGGCATGCAGAAACTCTAAAATTAAAAATATGAAAATGTAATTTATGAAATAAAGAACAATTATGATCTAAAGGGTATCAAAATTTACAAAAAAAAAAAAAAAAAAAAAAAAAAAAGCTTAATATTTATTTGTTTATTTTATTAAACATTTCTTTCAATGTAAGTTGTTTAAGTTGCTTCGTTTTATGTGATAATACGTTTATGTGATAATACTCTTTAATTCTATAAACAGACATAATTTCTTGTTCAGTTACAAAGTTCCGCTGTTCAAGTCCCGTAATTGCTGTGCCGAGAATACCGACTAACTTGTCAATCGAAATTTTTTCGTTTTCACTAACCTCTCTGTCACCTTCTTCATGTCTTTACCCATTTTTTGCAGCAATTCCACTTTTTGTTTGATGGACATTGAAACATACTTTCGTTTTGTAGATCCTTTGGGAGCTCCAGCATCGGAAATTCTATTTGACATAATCGAAAGTTCAAGTTTTACTTTTATAAAATTGCTCTTACAGTCTGCAAAAAAATAAGCCGGATCCAATTTGAAGATTAAGGAACAACGCATCAATCATCAACATTAACTGAAATAGATAATTACATAATTTTAGCTTATACTGTCCGTTATACATAAAACGCGCACGCGAAAACGTATTCTGTGCTTGCACACATGCATCTGCGCAGTCGTAAAGGTCTTATGCACACGCGTAAACACCTATGCGCATGTGTCAACGCGGCGCATGCGCAGAAAGTTTTTAGCTTTGAGGTCCGGATTATGGGTGTCTGAATTAACGACTTTTGACTGTATTAGTATGTAAGATATGCATTTAGCAATGTAACCATTTCTAGACTATATATCTATGAATGAATACTTTTTTTACATTTACTTCTTCCCTCTCAATATTTGCAGGAATAAAAATTTTATGTGCAATACTCAAGTAAAGGAGATCAATGCTAGTAATTTTCTGTAATAAAACATAGTATTTTAAAATTAAAAAATGTTTAATTTATTTTCAAAGAAAACTTCGTAATAGTTAAAGATATATTAAGAATTCATAATGTACAAATTTTCATTGCTTGGGAAGAAAGTGTTAACACTCTGCACCTGCAAGAAATTTTTGTCTTATTTTGCTTGAAACCACCTATCTGTGCAATTATTTCTTCATTGCATGTTGCTTTGCATTAAGCATTCCATAGCATTTTACATATTTCTGTTCTTGCATTATGTAGTTTTCTAATACAATTTTTTATAGTTTTCAATGTATTATGAATCTGTTTTTAGGCTGTAATTACTGTAGGATGCTTGTTTAACATTCATTAAAGCAAAATATCATGTTAATTGTTTCAAAACAAAGGAAGGAAAAAGAAACATGTCAAAGTTTAATCATTTTTCTAATTTTTGCTTCCATATTCATTTAACATATGAATGGTCATTCAGTCTAAATAAATTTCTGCTCTACTATTTTATGAGTTTTTATGTTTAATGCAATAGTAATAAAATTATATATCTAGAAATTTTAATTTTTTCCAAATTTGTACTGTTTAATTATATTTAAATATAATTAAACAGTACAAATTTGGAAAAATTTATAATATATCACTAATTTTTAATTTTGGTAAAGAGATTTATATATTGAGTGGAGAATTTCCATTTTTAATGCTATTAGTTCATCACTGCATATTTCTATATTTTTGTACTATTAGTTCATCACTATAGCTTTCTATTTTTTGTGCTATTAGTTTAATATTTTCATTATCCTATCAGAGCTTAATTTATATAGTATATATGTTACGGTGAAACACCGAAATCTGGAAAATGTTGACTTTCACTGGTGAATGTCAACATTCACATAGTCGCTTGGTGTATGTCCGAAATATTTCCCAAATACTCTTATTTTCTGACTTACACCGGTGAATGTTGACATTCACCATGTACTAATGGTGAATGTTGAACATATAAGAATATTATATTTCCTTCTCCATAATTCATTCACGAAAAAACACACTTGAGACTCAGAATAAGAACTTAAGAACATAAGAACTTAAAACACATAGTACATTCAAAATCAGAAAGGAAAATAATAGAAGTTATAAACTTACCAAATTATGTGATTCAAATCTTATTTATTGCAACACTTAAACTATTATGACACTTTGAATCGCACTAGAGGCCCTTGCTTTTACAACTGCATTTATTTGTGGAACACTTCCTTTTGGAATGGCAGCATGTACATATACTCTTCTCTTTTCTACCTTCACCAGAGCATATCTGTGATTGTCGATATACACCGGTGAGGTTCCGAATGTACAAGAATGTAAAGAAATATTCGCTCTTTCACCGACGTATTTGGTGAATGTTGACATTCTCAGGTGAAAGTCGACATTCTCCAATTTCGGTCTTTCACGGTAACATATATATATATAATGCAATATTTTGTAATAAATATTTTATAAGTTTACGCAAAATAATAAATTGTTTCAAAAAATGAAATGAATCTAAATCATTTAGATTACAGAATCAAATTAAATAAATTTTCACAAAAGATATTTTTCTTTCTTCCCATGTTTCAATACTCAAAAGCATCATTAAAGGAATTAATTTCTATCTTCGATTTCGATTACAAACGGGTAACTTAATTTTCTGGCTTTTATATTAACTTTCAAATCTTTTAGAATTACAATTGATTAATCTAACTTATTTTTTTTTTAAAGATGTCATTTACATATAAATTTCATATAAAACAATTACTTGCAATGAAAATTTACTCATTGTTCTTTACAATTTTAGCAACCTGGGGACTGCTTCTGTAAAACTGGATTTATAGGTAAGAACTGTGATAGTTGTGATATTGGATATCGAAATTATCCACGATGTGAACCTTGCCCTTGTCACAGTGCTGGAACAATTGGAGGAACAATATGTGAAGGAGAATGCATCTGCAAGGTTTGAATTTCACCAACTATTTTTATTTATTTATTTTTTAATGTAAGCAATATATAGTAAACTCTTGCTGAGTATGGATTTATGGAAACTCATTTTACTCATGTTATCAGAGATATAAGCACATATTTATCATTGATTATCCTGTTTTCATTTTGTATTTGTACTTTTTCCCCCATTTCAAAAATTCAATATGGCATATAAGAGGAAGAATGAAGATGACAAAGCAAAAACACACAAAGTTTTGACATTATCTTAACTGAGGTTTTAGGTAAGTTGAAAAATTTCAACACGTCCAACAGAAGTAGCTATAAATCAATTAAGCAAAAGGAAAACATAGAAGGATAAAGAATAGACTCAGTCTAGTGTCAAAGCTTCAGACAATACTTTTGGAAAGTTTACTGAAGTTGCAAGATAAATTTTGCAGTCCGAAAAGATTAATTGAGAAATGATGAATTGAATAATCTTATAACACTAGCTGAATGTGAAAACAGTAATAGTGAAAGAAGTTAAATGAATTATTAAAAAAAGGCACAGGAACTGTCATTTTGCATTATAAGCGAAGAAAGAGAATACTTAGAAGCATTAAAAATCTTTGCATTTCTTACCACAAAACTGTTATTAAACAATTGCATTAATCATTTTCCTTAACAAGAATCATCATCTGTATAAAAAATAATTGCATCATATACCTACTTACTAAGCAGTAATAGATAAAATCCATTCAATTAAAATTTGTTTAATTTTTGTCCTATTAATTATAACAGTATAAAGGATTATTTAAATTATGCATATTTTGATTTGAACCTTACATTTTATCCATAGAAAGTTAATTTTCCTGAATGTTATTTTACCATGCATGCGATATATTTATGACATAACCCCCACATTTGATAAGATTTACTGTTTTAAACTATAAAGTAACAATAGCATGTGAAAGACCTCTTTATGCTTCTTATTCTATAAAACATTTCTTTTCTCTCTTATGAGCTTTAATGACTCGGTTATTCTTTTGGCTTGAAGATTATTAAAAGATTAGTGACTTTACCTAAAACAAAGTAATAATATATGCTCTGAAAAATTTTGTTATCATTTGGAAGGTTAAATGTTTACAAAAAACTAATTATGAACTAGGCTTTGATATTTTGTATCAAAATATCAAATTATGTATCAAAATGTATTTTATCAAAATATCAAATTATTGTATCAAAATATCAAATTATGTATGAACTTTGTATCAAACTATGAATTGTATCAAAATATCAAACTAAATCATGAACTAGGCTTAGATATTTTGTATCTATAAATTAACTAATGATCAGCAGTGTATTCTGAAGTAATAGTAAAGCATTATTTAATATGTTAAGTGTGTTACATTTTGTAATGCATTAGATCCAACAATATTTTCATAATTTGATGACCTTCTATTCTATTTTCTTTTAATTAAAATATGTTGTCTGTTTTTGAGCAAGATCATTCACGTGCATGAGTATTTTAATTGTCTGAGTTGCACACTTTTTCAATCTGCTCAAAGTATTTAAACAATATTTACTATTTATTAATGCATAATTACTAACTTTAGTCTCTGCTTTCATAAACTTGATCACAAAGAAAATTAGTATGATGAGATCACAAAGAAAATTAGTGTCTTCTTAAATAGCAAATCCTGAAAAAAAATATGCAGAATTTTTATATTATGAAAAGTTATTACAAGGTGCAACAAAGAACTGTCCAGATTATATCATTTTACAAATAATTATATGGAAAGTTATTGGTTTTCTGTGGTGACAAAGAATATGAATCCCATGTATGTTATGTTTGCTGTATGAAAAGTGGTTCATGCAACAGATAAAAGTGACTGGCTGAAAAGTATTGCATTTCACTATGCTAAAAGGCATAATTTAATGAATATATAGCTTTGAAGATGTGCTCTGTGGAAAAGATCTTATGATACTAATGGTGTGCTTTTATTTAGAATACATGGTTGCCTCCAGAACTCGGGTTAATTTATTATACTTACAAAAAGACTGTTTTTTATATTGTCTAAGCTAGTTGCTTTGCAGACAGATTAGAACTGCTACAAGCAAGTAAATGTAGATCCATGACTTTTGAAGGAACACTGAAAAGAGTATTATAAATCATGGAGTAATGCTCTCAGAAATTATCATTGCTACCAGCTTGTCTCAAAGTTGCATGACTATAGCGAATGTTGAGCTGCAGAACTAGACTGTTTAAGATGGAAATAAGTTATGAGCACTGTATTGTAAATAATGTCAAAAAAAGAGATTACTTTTTTGATTAACTGATACAAATTACTGAACTACATGTCACTAAAGTCCTTCCTTTATACTAATTTGCTATGCATAGTCTTCATTGCAAGCAGTGTGCATATACTGTTAATGAAACCAACCCTTGCATTTTCTTTGGAAAAAATTAGGTGGCTTCTTGGTAGCCTCCCATTTAGTAGTTTACATTCAGTATTGGTATCTCTTTCTTTAAACAGTTTCATTAATCTGTGCACACTGCTGTTTTCGATGGTATTGTCTCCATAAATATTCTATAGTAATTGGTGTATGTTCGACTGACTGCATTTTGGGGGAGGGTCAGGAATTCAGTGGTGACATTTTATTTGGACTTTTTTTATCCATTATTTGCTTGCAAAAGAAAAAAAAAATACATGTATAAATTGCATAGAAAATGAGTCATCTACAATACATCTGGAGTTTGAATGATCTGCATCAATTAATAAAGAAATCTGGACAGCCATAGCATTATTTTTGGTTTGACTGTCATATTTGCTTGTAAGAGCTGTGTGTCTGCTTGTATTGGTATGAAGTGAACTTTAAATACATCGGATACATCGTACGAAGCCTTCTTTGTCAAAATGCTCTTAAGTGATTTTTGTGTTCTGAGAGCATTTCATTTATTAAAAATGGGTCTTTTTGTACTTAATTCAAATTATTAATTATATTAATTTTCCAGACATTAGTGGCTTCCCTTTTGTGCACTGTCTTTGGAATGAATGCACACATCTAGGCTTCTAAGGTAGCATCTGTAAACAGGGCAGTAACTAGGAGTGACAGGCATGATGAATATCCTAAAGCATTCTTGTATTTTTATTTTTCAGTAGAATCTTGATATAAACTCCATAGTAAATTTATAGGATTATTTAAAGCAATAAACGAATGGCAGGCAAAGCCATTTTATCTATTTATATTAATTATGGATTTATTACTGTAAGAATATACAAAAATTAATGTTACATACCAAAGTACTATCAAACTGATGCTATTTGACAAGACAGAACTGCAGCTGCTTTTGTGGAAAATAGAGCATTTTGAAGTAAACTGAGATTTTTTCACTAAGAGTGAGTGATTATTTTGCTCAGAAAACTTATATATACTTGTATATGCACACTGCATTTATATTTACCTTAAAAGCTTAGGTTTGATATATTTGTATGTGATACCTTATTTAAAACAAACTATGATTTAAGCATTCATAATATTATTAAGAAAATATATATGTATTCATATTCACTAAAATATATGATTTTTACAGGCACATGTAGAAGGACCAAGATGTGATCGCTGCAAGCAAGGATTTTATCACTTATCTGCGGATAATCCAGATGGATGTTCTCAGTGTTTTTGCTTTGGAATTACAGATGAATGTACAGAAGCAGACTGGGGAGTCACAATAGTGTGTTTGCTTAATATACCTATTAAATTACAATAAGATAAAAGTTTATCATATATTTTTTAGATTTTATTAATATATCAAATAAATTCAAGTTACTTATTAAGAAACCTTTTTTTTTATGACATGATCAAAATTGCTACTTTCATAATTTTTCAATTACCATTAAAACAACCTGTTTTGTTATTAATAGTATGTAGATACTTTATTATTAATTAAGGGTAATTTAAGCTTGTATATTAATTTTGTTGATACATGTGAAATGGTTTAACTCACCTTTGATAATAGCAATTTTACTTTCACTTCATTACATATGGCTTTATTTCCAATCAAAACTGATGATGCTACTGAAATACTTTAGAGATCCAGCTATTTAAAGTATATATATCATAAAAGTTACCTTTACATTATTATTAAAAAGAATAAATTTAATATTTAGAATAATTTTATATAGAAAATTTAAAATGTTAAAAGCTATAAATTTTGTGATTATAATTAGAATTTATAATAAAATAGTGGTAAACTGTATTTCCAAATGTATAACACACTAAAATAATACATTAAATAAATTAAGAAAAAATCAATTTGAGTATTTTAGCATACATTAAATGTTTGAGTATGGGGAATATGAATATTTTTTACAAATGCACATGGGAGGGAGATCTAAAGAGCTCTGATTATTAATTTAATGAATCATAAATTAGACTTTATGTTTTATGACACTAGCTGCTAAAGAAGAATCAATTTTCAGTTTTGATGAAATGCTGTTTTTGTATCAGAAAATTTCCTCATTATCATCTGTTTGAGTTCTGCAACATATTTGCTACAGTATCCTAGTTGAGACTGATTTATCAGCTAATATTGTGTACCAAGGCCCTAGTTTTCTGGTCGGAGGAATGCAGATGGTTTATCAAATATGATTTGCCAAAAGTTAAACTCATTTCATGCTAGTAGCTATAATCAAGGATTTAGAAATTGCAAAATTAAGGTATTAATTATTAAAGTTGAGCAGTATGTTCCAAAATTAATTAAATTTTAGTTATCTGTAGATTTTATATTTATGTATACATACTATATAATGCTTGCACATATACTAAGTTATAAAATGATGTAAGTTATATAAAATAATAACCACTGGTGTCTGTTTTTGATAAATCTGGGAATTGTGATCTGTCCTTTTCCAAACAAGACTTATGGTGACTCATTTTGAAGAGGCAGCTATAATATAGTACAATTTAAATTATTGAAATTTTCTTAATTGTTAACATTATTCTAATATAAAAGAAAACTTATAAAAAATTTATTTTATTTTAAATTAGCTTGAATTTAATTGAAGCACAAAATATTGATTCATATATAATTGTTTGTTAGCAATGCTAGGAAAAAATTTATTATGTTGACAGAATGCAAAACTTTTATTATTTATCTATTGCTACATATGTAAGCTTTGATCACATTATAAAAAATATTTTATTACTAGTAAATGTTGTATGCTATATAAATGCCTTATGAAATGCTTTTTGAAAATTATACAGGTACACTGTGCCCCCCAAAAGGACAGTTCTGTATTTCCCGTTCTACTGGGCCAATTGATGAAATTCAGTCGGCCCAGAAACATATTATTATATAATCAGATATATTAAATTATTATTATGTAATCAGATATATTAAACACATACAGTATATTAAGATAATTTATCCTTTTAATTTTGTATTACGGGAAAACATATTCATGTAGTTCTACTTCAAAATGTAATATTTAAGTTGTTTAATTATTTTTCTCCTAGAATACCTTCATCATATTCATATAAGGCATCTAACATGCAAATTTATATTTTTTGTTGCAAAATTCTTCAAAAACATGGGATTATTTCATGTGTGAGGTCATCTTATATTTGAATTAATAAAATATACACTTATTGATAATTTACAAAATAATGTTGATTTTTAAAATTTAATTGAAAATATGTAGATGACAAATTGATTTGTTGATTATAAATTTCAGCTTTTTAAGACAGAAAACCTAACAGTTTATAGACATTTATAGAAATAAAGTACTAAAAATAGTGCTTGCATTTATCAGAGAACAAATTTTATTTGCAGACAATAAAAACAATGTAAGTACTAAATTTGAGAGACTTTGATTTTCTATTGAAATGGTAACAGAGGAAATTTTGGGCAAACTTGTAAGTAGCAGTAAAAAGTATCAAATATTTATTAATACAGCAGTAAAAATTTAATGAAGTATAATAAGTAAATTTATCTTTTAAATGTATTTAATTATTTATTGGAATACAAAAAATATTTCAAAATTATGAAGTTGTATACTTAGTTAATAAACGATTTCGCATAAAATTCAAAGTAAAGTAAAGCATGCATAATAACTAATTTTATATATTTTTAGTATTCAAAATTTTCATATACCTTTGAATTGATATTTCTTTTAAAAAAATTTCAACTTCATTTCTTTTAAGTGTTTATCAGTCATTTTAACACAGTTAAGTTTGTATTTATGTTGATAAATTGAAAAAAAATTATGTAGGTCCAAAATGTTGAGGATTGGCGAGTCTCTGATCTGAAAGGAAGTCGTATTGCAAAGCCCACCCTTGAGAATGGGAATGCTGTAATAGCCAATGATGATGTATCAGACATGAATACTTATTATTGGCTTGCTCCACCAGATTATCTTGGAAAAAAGGTAATCAAATTTTTAAAAAATGCTTTCCTTCTTTATATGCTAAGGAGTTTTAATCATTTGAAAATATACTTCAGTTAAATAAATTTTGAAATTATTTTATTTACAGAGAGTGCTTATACATTTTTAGAACAAACTTGTTTCCATTTAATTAGTGTTTACCATATTTTTTTAAATGTTCGATCTGCAACAGGCATTTTCTAGACTATGTTCATATTGTGATTTCTGTAAATAGAAGGGCTGGTCATAAAATTTTCAGGGTTATTGATTTCCATTTCTCTTCTACTATTATGCAGACTACATTAATGATGGTAATAATGGTGGATTTGTGCTTAGAAAGAGTGAAAAACCCACCATGATAGTCATAAGTGAAATGTCAGGAGAGTTTGCAGGAACACATTGAAAAGGTATCAGGCTTTATTATTATTTGTTTTCAAGGAATCCAGTGGTACTTTCTGAAGTATGATTTGTTGCTTTGTCTTGATAAAGATTCATTATTTGAAAGTTGTTGGGATCATGAAATGGAATTTCTTTTGTAAATATTGAACATTGAATGCTCTGTTGATAGTATGTTGAATCGATCTGAAAATTTTTTTTGCACTCCTCTTACTTTTAACTTTTCATTGTAAGAGAATTCTGCGACAATCATAAAATCCTACTGAAACATTCTTTACCATTGATGGAACCAAGTTTGTGCATTTTTTTTCCTCTTCATATTTGATAATAAATAGACTCCCCTTTTTTTGTTTTGTTTTGTTTCAGTCATTTAGGTAAAGCCATGCTACATCAAGGATCACAGTGTATTCCCATGCATTTCATACTAAATAGTTTTCATAGGGTTAATCTACAAATTGTTCTGCATTGAGCCGCATGTCTTGGCAAAACTTGGTGAACATTATGTTTTTAAGCTAAGTTGTAAATCTTGGTTTTTCATTATATTTATTGTTGCTACAGATGTACTTAAAAAATTTGCAATTGATTTCAGCATCAGTGGATTTTCTCTTATTTTCAGCAATTTAACTTTAAAAACATAAGATACAATATGTAAATGTTTTAAATTATTCATTTGGAATCATCTTTTTATGTCAAAGTAATGATTGATAGCATTTCCCTTTATGATTAATATCATTGCTTATTTTGCTCTTAAAAATTTTAATAGAATGCATTACACAACATTTTTGAATCATGGAAAAGGAATATTTCTCTTCAGAAGGCACAGAAACATATGCTTCAATCCACAGCTTGTTTTACATGTGACATTTTGAAAGAAAGAATAGTAACTTTAAAAGTAGCAGATGATATTTCTCATTTTAAATAATAAGCTGCTGCCATATATTATTATTTTAAGTATTTGGTTTTTTAAAGTTCTTTATTGAAATCATTCTAAAAGTATGTGAACACCCTTTGTAATTTTTGAAAGTTTTAAAACCCACTTCATTCTCTGTGTGCTATTCCAGCTTTATTCGTATGGATCAGATTTAAAGTTTACAATAAGCTATGTTGTAGCAAGAGGTGATACTTCTGGTACTTTCACAGAAAATGCTGATGTTGTTTTAGAGGTAAGTTTTCTGTTTAGTTGTAAGTTGTTGTATTTTTGTTGTATACTTTAGCATTTTACTCGGTGTAAATTTCATTACATTTAATTAGTATTTAACTTTTAATCAATGACAATAAAATTTTTCAAGTCAGTAATATACAAAGTGATTATAATTAAATGACCCAATTTACTATATCTTATCTCAGCAGCAGCTTTGAATGAAATTTGTTTACGTGGCACTGAAATTGTTGGGAAGTTGTTTCAAAAAGGGGGAAAAAAAATTTCATGTCTTTGTCACTGAAAACAGAATGCTGCAGGGATTACAGTTATAAGACAAAAAATCTAAATTTTATAATAATTAAATTTAATTTTTCAAAATATCTGGTTCATTCTTGATTATATCTTAAAATCACAATATATTGTAAAATTAAATGCATTATCAATTGTGGTACAAAGAATAAGAGGCATATTGCAATATGCTGACCTTCAGCTCGAACAAAGATTACATACTTTCCTGACATATGTGATCTTTTAAGTATCCTTGTAAAAAGTGTAAAATCCCCGCCCACTCAAACAACATACAGATTTTTTTTGGTGTGACTAAGGAAAAACAAATGTTTTTTTAACAGCCATTTGATGACTAATTTAAAATATATAAGTTCCTAATTTTAGTAGGCTGATTGTTTATGTTCATAAATTAAAATTAATTTTCTATATCAATGACCATAGACTTGAAGTGCTCATAAATCATGCCATTTTCAAGATCTAGGTGTTAATATTCTTATTACACTGTTACATCTTTTATTAAACTAATATTATTTCAATCCAAAGTGAACAAAATGTTAGCCTTCATAAGACTAATAAATTGTGTTAAATATATTAAATATTTTTAAAGGATTTTTTTCCCCTTTAATAAAGGAAAGGTAATGTTGATAAGAGTTTCATAAATGGCCCTTTTCAAAGTCTAACAATCCAAATTATTTGTTACATTATTCTAATTAATAAGAGAAATAAAGAAGCTTCTTAAAGTGTAAATAAACAAGAAATTAATTGCAGTAGATTATTTTTACATTAAAAAAAACTTTTTTTTGGCACATTAGCTGATGGTATTAGTTGTGGTGTCTATGTTTACTTAGTAGTTTTGAATTCATATGTTAGGATCTTGTGAAATAATTAGTATTTTTCTAAGGTGCATTATAAGACAATTTGTAACCAACCACATACAATAAAATAATTTATCAATCAATAAATAACAGTGGCATTTATATTTTCACTTGTTAGTAATGTTAGAAAATACATTCAGTGGGATGGGCTGAAGTCCACAACTAGCAATGTTTTGAAATTTAGCATAAGAAAAAATGGATGCAAACATAATGAATTACATTATATATCAAATTACATTGTTATGACCATTATATATAAACACCAAATTATATTGTTATGACCATTAGATAAGGCTGCTTTTGTGCAGTAAAACTCCGTAAGATGTAAACTCATAAAAATTCTGATTTATATTTTTTTCATAATCGGCAGTTCAGTTTTTACACCATGTGAACCATTTTAAAACACCTGAAAAAGTAATAATAATAGTATAGATACTTCTGATTCTGATATTAATATTACTTTCAATATAAACTCTGGATTTATGTACTGGGGCTTGGCAAATGCATAGTTAACATACTTGAGCTCAAGAACTTATTGAACTATAATTCAAGGCATTTGCAATTCTGTCAGCTAGAAAGATTTTGCTTCATTATGTACTGTGAATGCCTGGATGATTAGAGGCAGAACATTACCAATGAAGTCAACTGTATTGATTAGGTAGATCTCCAATGAATGGCCAAGAATATGGATGTATTCAGCTTCTGTCCAGCAGAAGAGAAAAAAATTTCATCTTTTAGTGTAAATGTCTGAAATCTCCCATAGATAATCTGCATTTGAGATATAACAAACTACAGCTTTATTTTTGTTTCAATAAATAGGCAATAAAAAAAGTTTAATATGAATCACCCTGTAAAATCATCATGATGATTCAAACCAACATATATGTGCAATACATTAACTTTTAACTGACATTTCCTCTAAGTTGTGAAACTGTTTGGCCACATTCTGATATATTAGAAGTTGCACCAATGCTTTAACTTTTCTTACATCTGTTAGTCTATTAAATATCAACATTAAAAATATTTATGAGAGAAATAATATACTGCTAGAATTATACTTTCGCATTGTGCTGATATTCTTTTGCATCATGCAGCTATCTGAAAATTTGTTGATCTCAGCTTACTTATTTTGAAATGTCTAGTACTGCTTAATATATTGCAATTTTTATATCAGGATTAGATTGCATTGCAAATTTAAATCGATTATTGAGAAAAGTAATCACAACTTTCTATTTTTCAAATACATTTATTCTTTTTGTGTATAGCTTAAAGCAATTGAATGAATTAAAGTCGTATATTAATTAACATTTTAAAAATTTTATTCTTTCATGCATGTGCTGAAATAAAATTAAAATTTTATATATCTGGAGGAAGAAAGATGAGATAAAAATACTAATGTTTGGTTTTTATTAAAATTATTTTGTTGTAATTATTTAGTCTTTCTGAAAGAATGTCTATTTTTAATTTCTCATTTCTAGGGTAATGGCCATCAAATTGGATATAACTGGGGTGTGCGACCAGAATATGATAATGTTGCTATCTCTGTACCATTGCGTGAACAAGGGTGGTTTCTTTTAACACCTCGTGAAGATGGCACAAATTCTGTCAGTAGAGAAGACTTCACTTTAATTCTGAATAATTTAACAAGACTGCTTATTCGAGCAAAATTTCATACAGATCAGATAGACTGCAGGTTAGAAAAAGGGATACATGTTAGTCATTCTAGATTTTAAAAATTAATGCACTTATTAAAAATTACCAAATTTGTTTAATGCTTACCTTTCTTAAACTGTCTTCTTATACTTTTGTAAGCTATGTATATGTGTGTGTGTGTGTGTGTATGTGTAATTATTTAGTACTTTCCAAAAAGAAACTAGAATAAACTTTCTAAAAAAATCTGAAAGGGTTCAAATTTTAATTTTCGTGTATTGCTTATTATTATTAATATTTAAAAAATAAGAGCATTATTGTCATCTTGGGAAGATTATATAATTTGTCTGGCAACACGATTTTAATAAGGATTTCAAGACAATGTTAAATTTAATATAAGCTTCAAGATAGGGAGAAAATTATATTTTGAGGTGGCTGATTTTTTGCTAACAGTGGTATGGAATTATATACACTTGAAATTTTATTTATTTGATTAGGATACAAATGTTAATTAATTCCTACTGTCATTGCTATTTTACATCTGAATAATTTGAATGTACATTTGTTTCATGTAGCATTCAGTAGCTCCTTAGCCAGCTCTCAAGTGGTTGCAAAATGATCTTCTTCCACAAGTTCTTGCAAGTGGGCCTCATAAACATCAGTAGGCTGGCCAAAGCACTTTGCTTCTTGAATGTCCTAATCCTTGTTTTTGAACTTTCAGTGCCAAACCTTCATAGTGTCACATGGTACAACATTAGTACCCTAAAGCTGTACACATGATTCTGATACTAGATTACGGCATTGAAAAATAATGGGTTTCAAAACTACCATGGCTTTGACAGCAAAAACGTTAACTGTTTATTCTTTAATGTTTATTCTTGTGTCCCTTATTGTGTGTTACAATTACCATGTTTAACATTATTTTGCTTAGTGTTATGTTTTTGAGGAACTCAAGCCAGAATATTAGTGTACCTTAAAAGTTGCTATTACAGGAAGGCAGAATTTTGATTATATTGACAAAGAAAACTGTTCAAAATAGATTAGTACCTTTTATTCAGAACTGCTTTCGAATAATGAACATATTACAATTCAAATGTTAAATTGACTAGAAAAAAACATCATGATAGTAAATCACATCTTATGCAGTTAATGCTTTTAAATCACAAGCTGAGTAACTCAGTGGAATATTGTCATTTCTAGATAAAATTTTTGACATAAGCAAATTGTTGTTGATTTGCTTCATTTTTTATGCTGTGAAGATGATATCTTTAGAATTAGTTTAAATAAATGTTTTCTATGAAATATTGCTAAGAATTCATTGCCTCTCTTCCCACAGGAAATGCAGCATGATCTGACAAGGTCATTTCATGATTAAAAGCCTTCTATTTGATGTCGTGTCTGTTTACTGCCCAAGATCTAGATTTTCTCACATATGCATCTTTTAGATATATTAAGCAAATTTAAGTGTGTAGTTTAGATTTTTTTTAAAAGTTTTAAAATAAAATTTCTGTTTTTCTGTTCCAATGTTTTAATTAAACAGTATATTTAGAATTTCTTTTTGAACTTAGTAATATTTTATGTATAATCATACATAAATATTATAGAGTTGAATTATAGTTATGTAAAGCACAAAATATTAAAAGGTCTTAGCAATTATATATTTAAATCAATGCTTTTAATTATCCTCTTTTAAAACCATTATATATGTAGCATTTTGTTCATATGTATAGGCTTCATAATATTGGTATGGAAATAGCAGCGAAGGATTCAAAAAGTTTGAGAAAAATAGGATCAGTAGAGAAGTGTGTTTGCCCTCAAGGCTATGCTGGTTTATCTTGTGAAGTACGTTGATACAATATTTTACTGAAGCATTATAAACATAATTCATTTTATTGTTGTTTGTTTTCCAGTTTTTAGTGCTTGGTAATATTAGTATTAAGAAATATTTATTAATCACAACCTTTATACCATTTTCTGGTACAGAACATGATTAACCAGTAATTTTTAACATATTAAGGATAAGTTAGTGTTTCCAGTTCCATTGAAATTGCATCTGACATAAACAGATTTTGTTTCTAATAGATGTTACCAGCAAAGTTTTGAAATCTGGCATTTTATAGAATGCCTAAAACTAGCCAGCAATGTATGAAATGATTAATATTTCACAGATTTCCTAGGCATTCTGTGGAATGCTAAATGAGAAACTGGCAAAGTATGAAATACATCTCTGATTCGTTTCGAATATCACATGTATTTTAATTCATTCAATATTTCAAACATTCTATTTCTGATACCTTTTCTGTGTGTTTAAAGGAAATGAGTGATGCACTTGCATGCAAATATTTTGTCAGAACATTTGTACCTTCTGTGGCCATGCTAGTAAAGATGATGAAAGGGATAATTTGTGCACCCTCTGTTTCAAAACTGAAAATGCTATTGAAGGTAAAGTAAATTCTAAAATCAGTCTGGAAATACAAGCCAAAGAAATGAAAAGGAATTTGGAAAAATAATTTCCCACTTCTTCTTTGGGATCTACTGTGCGAGTTCCTATTCCTGACATCAACAAGGGGCAAGGTGATTCGTGCAATATATTGCATAATTTATATTCTATATTCTATAGAATGCCGGCATTTCATACTTTGCCGATAACATAGCCTATCAGGGACCTTTTTTTCATAATTTGCCTAAGTAGCATTTGTCATTCTATAGATTACCTAGGTATTATATACAGTACCTAGGAAAAGTATGTAATAATTCTCATATTTCATACTTTGCCTAAAAATGCCCAGCATTATATACAATGCCTAGGCATTCTATAGAATGTTGGCATTTCATACTTTGCCAATAACTTAGATAATAATGAATAAGATCTTTCACTGTTATTATTAATCTACATAATTGAGTGCAGTGTTAAGTTTTCCATTTATAAAATCATCTTATATGAACTTTACAGATTTTACAACAACTGTTATTTTGTAAAATATTTAACCCTAAAATTAATCTAGTTAACCCTAAAATAGACTGAGAGCAAAATTTCTATTCCTTTTTAAACATCTGAAAGGAAATTTTAGGTATTTATTGTTTCCAGTTTGCAGATTTGGTGTCTCAGTGAAATAGACGACATTAACATTTGAAGGAAATATCTGTTGCAAGCCTTGGGAACAAATGTGCAAATGAAATAAATGCACAACTACATCCTGAATAATTATTTTCTTTGTTAATAAGTGCATAAGTTTCTGTATGGCATTAATTTATGATGAAGTAATATCATAACAATTTTTTTCTGACAATTTGTATTTACTAATTCAAACAGCTCATTTTAAATTTTGAATTATATGTTCTATATCTTTAATTTTTGGTAGACTAATTTTGAAACTAGAGGTATATTGTAATTGATTAGCTTAAAACGTTTTTCAAATATTAAACTGAAATTTGCATACCAAGATTAAATTGAATTTTTTAAAAATCTTAATTAATTTTTTTTTTTAATTTCTTTTTCTACTTTTCAAAATTGTTTTCAATTGCATTTTTGAAAAACAAATTCTAGAAACATTGTTTTACTTTTTAAATATTTTTCTATTTATGCCATTTTACATTAAAAAAAATAATTCAGAAGCAAATGTCAAAGGTTTTAAAACTGAAATTCTTTTTGAGTAGAGTTTTTAATATTATTTGACTGTAAAGATTTAATTTTAAAAAATGCCAGCAATCAGTATTATCTTTATTTAAAATAAGAAACAAATATTTATATAAATTTTTTATATTTTAAAGTTTTTAATGCATTTTAATAAAATTAACTTAATGGTAAATTCTTTCTGAGGTGGTGTATTGTAGAATCGCATTTTTTTTATTGCTTTTTTTTCGTTTTCTTAATTATTAAAAGACATATTAAAATTAATGCATAAAATAAGTTTAATTATAAATACAAAATTTATATGAAAAACCTTTTTTCCTTAGCAAGGGTATTTACAATATTAGTAAGAAGTGAACAGTCTAAATGTCTTAAAAAGTTTCTTCAACGCCTTTAGTAAAACCATTTTTTAAGTTTTTTGAAACTTTTTTAAAAACTTTTTATAGAACATCTCTTATCTTTAACTTGTGGATTCATGAATATGTCTAAATTAACTATATAAATTTCAAGGGTAATATAACATTATTATGATTAAATGAAATAATTATTCTACTTTTGATTTAGAAAATATCAATTTGTTAACTCTGAAAGAAATTGAATCTGTTAGTTTTCAGTTTTATCTCTGTTCATAGCTTTGTGCACCTGGCTACAGATCTGTGACTGGTCCAAAAATAGGTCATATTTGTGAAAGATGTGATTGTTACAATCATGCTGAATCATGCGACAATGTTGCTGGTCGGTGTGAGGTAATTTTCAGTTTTCAATTCAGAAATGTTTATTTTAATATATGAATGACTTTATTATACAGTTTTATATAATAATGTTTAAAAATATGATGTACTTAATTGCTTTTTAGAACTGTATGCACCATACAACTGGACGAAAATGTGAGCGCTGTGTACGTGGATATTATGGGAATGCAACAATTGGTACACCTGATGACTGCAAACCGTGTGCATGTCCACTACAAATACCTGAAAACAATTTTTCTCCCTCTTGCACTGCAATTCAGTCTGCAGCTGGTGAAAATGATTATATCTGTGACCAGTGTGCTGAAGGATATGAAGGAAATAAGTGTGAAAGGTATACTGAATGCACTTGCAAATCATCCCGTCCAAGGACGGGTAAGCGTGATCTTCTTTTAATCAAGCTTTGCTGTTTACTAATTTTTCTAATCTTTGTGATTACTTTATAAGTATGTAGAAAACTTTTTCATGAAATCTGGAAATTATAACTTCTAAATTTATTTGGCTACGAAAAAGTATTTCTTATAACCCCATAATTGCAAATGCTGTCTGAAGGTAATATAAAGCCTAACAAGTCTTTACATTGAATTGGTATCAGTAAAATGGTAACTCAGAAATTTTAAAAATAAAAACAACAAGAATTTATGAAGATAGTTTTTCAAAGAATGAGAGAATCCTGAAAATTATCTGCAATAACAGCCTTAATAACCCTGAAATGCTTTCCTGTAATCAATTAATAAATCTAAGAAAGTAAGTGCTATTTTAATATTATTATTATGTAGACCTGTTACAATTTAAGACACATATTCTGGTAAATTATAAATGAAAGGTCTTAGATGGAGTTCACATTTTTAAAAAAATATTTTTTACTGAGGAGAACATTAAAGTATCATATATATATATATATATATTGAAAAGTTTAATACAGTTAGTCAAACCATTTAAATTTTTTTAAAAAAGTTTTGTAATATATTAAGACTTTTCCTCAAGTTTTAGTTTAACTTTTATAGTCCTTGAGCTTTTCTTTTGGATAGAGAGAAAAAACAAAAATAATCATATTGCAGAGTTCTTAGGACATAAAGATGATAAAATTTGTATATGCAGGATCTGAAATAAGTCTGAAATCGAGATGTCCAAAATCCAGAATGATCTAAAATTTGGACATCTCAATCACCAACAACTTTTATTTAGAATTTCTTGTATGCTTTTTGTTTGTCAGTTTGGTATTTTTCATAATAAAATGTGGGCAGTCCTGATTCTTAATTTCACTTTGACCCTATTGCAAACCTGTCAAATGACTATCATGACTATCAACACACTGCAGCTTGGGAACTCATGCCTGCATGCTATCTATTTTTTTTTTTCTTTTAAATATTAGTAACTGAATACCAAAGAGCTTGGTAACCTTTCATGTTGACATTATGCTTGGTGATGATTATAGACTTCAGTTAACTGTGCTGCAAATAACTAATTGTGTTGAAGAGAAGAAATTTAACAGAAATTTCTTTCCATATGCAAAAATATATTTTGTAAATGCTAAAAGTTATATGCCAAAAGATTACATGTACTGTTGTTTGAATTGAGAATAATTCATTTATTATTCAGATATGTCCAGTGCCAGAGCAGGTGTGGCTAGATCAGGTGGCAGAATTTAGGAGAAGTCGATTTAATTTACATGTTGCACTGTCTGATTCTGGCACTTCACAGATGGACCCTAGTCCTCCGCATTGAGTGAGAGGTAGGAACATCATCAAAAAGCACCCACGAAAGGGCATCCTCTTTGTGTACTCATAAATGGATGCAATGGGATTCCACAAAGGGCGTCTTCTTTGTGTACTCATAAACGGATACAATGGGATTCGCTTGCAGTGTGGTAGAGTTTAACTTTTGAAATCTCTCTTAAGCACCCCTCACTGAAACAGCAACCCTGGCTCACCACTCCCAGGGACATGGAGACCGTAAAGAGTGGGGAAGCTTATTAAAGGACCTGTTATTGGCTGTCACGTTATTCACTCGGATGGCCTAAGCCATGACCATTGGGACAGCATAAGCTACTCTTTCTGGCTGTAGAAATTGGGTCTGTGTATTTTATACCTCTAGTGCTGAGCTGTTAGAGTACAGATCTCTGCCAGTACACTAGTTGACTGCTGGAGGGGGAGGGGAGAATTTAGAGAAAGCAAAATTTGTAAAATGTAGAGAAGTACCAAGCAACAGAATCATGAGATGGCAAAATCTTTAGGATTTTGGGAAGGCAATAGGATAAAAAGGGCATGATGATGCAAAATTTTTAGAATTTAGGGAAGTGCTTGGCAGCAGAATTTTGGACTCACAAAAATTGCACTTGGCTACAAAATTTCTTGCACCGGCTCTAGATGAACCTTAGGTAGAGGGTGTAACAAAACTAATAGTCACACATGTAAGGGATGGTAGAACTTTCTAAAACAAACAACTTTCTCCATACAGTATGGGGTCGCAAAGCAAACGGCGAGCTACGAGAATGTGCCTGCTTGGTTTCAAATGAACAACAAAGAACACAAGGAACAAGAATTTTTCAATCCAGAAAGACAAGGAATCTTTATTATTGAGAACTTATGACAAATGCTGAAATGTGCGACCACCAGCTGCAATATGGGTATCACATCCGCAAGAATGAATGACACACACTAGCATTCACGAAGATTCCTGGCTTTTCATGAACATCTGCAGCTGCGATGCTTTGACTTTATCCATTTTTTGCAGCAGTTCCACATTTTGTTTGATGGACATCGAAACATGCTTTCGCTTTGTAGATCCTTTGGTAGCTCCAGAATCGGAAATTCTTTTTGACATAATCGAAAGTTCAAGCTTACTTTTATAAAATTGCTCTAACAGTCTGCAAAAAATAATAAGCCGGATCCAATTCGAAGATTAAGGAACAACACAAACTGCAACGTTAACTAAAATAGATAGTTAGATAATTTTAGCTAGCTTATACCATTCGTTATACATTAAACGCGCATGCGTAAACGTATTATGTGCATGCATAAACGCATATGCGCGTTTATGTGTGCGCAAAAAGTTTGTAGCTTTGAGGTCTGGATTATAGATCATTCCGGATTATAGATGTCTAGATTAAAGACTTTTGACTGTATATCCTAGCGCATTTTATAGTAAATCAGGTAGCACTTGCTGGAATAAGGTTATGTATTTCAGTCTTGTAAAAGGTAATGATGATTAAGTGATAGTGAACCCTGGCTACACATTCATGGAGAACCTTTACTGGGGGCAACTTGAATGTGTAACATGTGGATTAAACTGTAGTCCTGTCATGACTGTTAAGCATATTAAATATGCTGTCACGTGTGAACACAGCCTCATCCATAAACAGGACAGGTGCTGCAAATTGTCGCTATTTGATTTATCATTCTTGCACTCCTTGATCAACTTGTACCACACCTTTGGCAGCAGAATGAGCTTATCTCCAAGAGTTGCCTGTGCAAGCATTAAAATGTTCTCAAATCAAACAGTGCCCTGTTTGGAAATGACTTCTGGTAAATTCTTACCATCTGCGGCATTGTCGTTTACATAAGTTGCATATGAGCCCTCTCCATATTCGAATATTGCTACATATCTGGCAATGAATAGGAGCTGGAAGACGAGTTCTGTGAAAATAATGTTTCATTGACTCCAGAGAAAGCGCCTTCTCACAGCTCACCATTTGCTTTCCAACCAACTATGTATAGTGAAAGTTGTTTGTTTTGGAAAATTCTACATCCCTTACAGTTGTGACCATTAGTTTTGTTGCACTCTGTATTTGTGAGAATTTATGTATTCGTGACTCGGATGAGCTTTAAGCTTTTTACCAGATATAGACGTAAGTATAATAAATAAATAACATTATTCGGGCTTAACTTAGTGTGCGACTGAAGCAAGACAAAATTTAGCAGAACAATATGTCTTTAGTCGCTAATCTCATGGTACCTCCTCAGTAATGTATAGCAAACACTAGCTAAGTTTTATAATAGTGGCAAATTTGAATTACAAGATTGTGTTCTGATATTACAAAGGGAAATTTCCCATTTAATGGAATTTTTAAAGAAATGTGGCGAAGTGATAATGAATGAAGATGATATAACAAATTTTTCATTGCAATGCTAGTGCTCAATCATCAATTGATTAATGGATGACGAAATCTGTAGTATGGCTCTAAACCCAGAAAATAATGCTACCTATAGTGAAGAATGTGAGAGAAAGGTTGTTGAGAACGAAAAAGTTTCAACTGATTGGAAATTCTCTAGAGGGCAATTTAAGGATTTAAACAATGGAACTTTGTAATCTGAACAAGGAATTTGTCTACCTATAAACTTAAAAACAAAGTATAAGCACAAAAAAATGAAACCGCTTAAGGAATATACATTGAAAGAAAGGTTTAATAAAGCAAACAAATAAATATTGAACCTTTTTTAATATTAATTTTGATTCCCTTAAGTTAATAAATGCTTCATTATCTCATAAATCACTATATTATATTTTTACTTTTATAATTTCTACATGTCATCTTACTAGATTTAAACTGATGATCTAATATCCAGAAAAATCTCAAATCTGGAATCGCCGAAATCCCAACAGAGTTTGTACTATATTATTAGTTAAGAATGATTTTCTAATTAAATTTGCACTATTTGAAATCATTATTTGGATAATTTATTTTTCTTTCTAAGATAAATAAAATTAAGTATGATGGTAAATTATTTATATGTTTTTATTTATAAATTTAGTAATTAAGCTTAAATTTTATTATTTTCCATCAGTAAAAACATATTGTCTTAATTTCATTAAACAGAAAGAGGATATACATGTTATTTCATGTATTTGTAAAATTTGTTTCTGTATTTTATTTTAGTATAAGAAAAATGAAAAGAAGATAATGTGTGTAGTTTTAAAGCAATGGTTTTCAACTTGTAGCTTCATGTGAGCCTATTGGTATTACTCGCATTGCCTAATTGAAAAAGGCATAAAAATGCAAAAAAATTTAAGCACATGCAATCAGGGCCAGAGCAAAACCTCTTTTGAAAGCCCATCATCGTCTACATCTTCAATGTAGTAAATAACTCTGAACTATATAAAGCAGTGGTATTCAAAGTATAGGTACGGTGACCATATTTTTTCGGAGAAAATAAAGGACACTTGTAACGTGACATGAGGGGGGGTATGGTAATTTAAATTCATGCTCAATAATTTTGTGTTAGGGGTGGGGGTTTGTGCGTTCGTGTGACGTCACAAATGTTAATTTGGGATCTTCCAAGGTGTGACAAATTGTGACATGGGGATTGGGGATGGGCAGGGTCAAAATTATCCCAAATATTGCGTTCATTTATGGACGCCTCCTGATAAAAAAAAACTCCAAAAAACTTAGTAATTCAAAAGGTTTATTAAAACAATAGAAGCAGACATTAATATGTTCAACGAGTTTTAAATAATGTAATATGTAAATATAGGATATTAAATAATTTATTGCTCATACTTTCCAGATGTATGGATTTTTCGCAAAAGTGCCGGTTCACGCTTCAAAAAGTCGTGAAATTCGACGATTTCTCAAAATAAAGGACAATATGCTTATTTGAGGAAATAAATAAAGTTAGAGGACAGAGCCTTCAAATAAAGGACTGTCCTCTGAAATAAAGGACGTCTGGTCACCGTAAGTATAGGTCATGTATCTGGATGGGTTTTCAAAAATTTATAGTGGGGTCGCAAGGGAGATAAAAACCCTAAAAAATCTGCATTTATGGTATAGGTCATTTCTACGACTGGGGTCACAAATTTTTTTTTTTTTTTTTTTGGGAGGGGGGATCATTTGAATTTTTATAGGGTCACACCGTCATAAAGTTTGAATACCACTGATATAAAGTATTTCATGAAACCTAAAAATTCAAGTATTTTTTTCATTTAAACAAGAAGCATATTTTCCCATTCTATAATGTTTTACTTTTATGGTTTCAGTTTCTTACGTATTGAGTTATGTGCATGCACATGGCACCTGCACATGATGCAGGAGAGAAGCAGGCAGTTGTGTGTTCCGTCCCATTGATGCAGCAGTGCGTGTGAGAAGATCATGGCGATCGCATTGCAGAATTCGACAAATGAGAAAAAGCTAGGTGTTATTAGATTTCTGACTGTGGAAGGGGTTAACCTAGCTGATATTCATTGCCGAATGGTGGCCGTATAAGGGAAAAACTGTGTGTTCAACAAGTCAGTGAGAAAGTGCAGTGCCAGTTTCCACGAGGGCCGGGAGTGTTTGAGTGATAACCCGAGATCAGGCCAAGCAAACACGGTAATTACAGCTGAACTCATCGACAAGGTGAATGATTTGGTAAGAAATGATCGAAGTGCTACAATGAGAATTTTGGAAGTGAAGGTAGAGGCCAGCATTCGAACAGTGCGAATACCTAAACAACAGTTCTATAATTGCTGTATCAAGAATACTGACTAATTTGTCAATCGAAATGTTTTCGTTTTCAATAAACCTCTGTGTCACTTTCTTCAGTATCGGAAGTGAATTATAATGACGAGGAAGTACAGATACAGACAGAGTACATCGAAATGAAATGCTACATTTAGTAAGGAATCATAAGCCAAATAAAATAAAAACATCTGCCTTGAAGATAAGGATAGTGCTGACAGATCAACTTCCCATTCATTGCGCCCCCCCCCTGCCGCAGAGCAGTGTGAAATTGATAAACAGATTTCGGAATGGTTAGAGAAACAAAGGATATGACTTTATCCAATTTTTTGCAGCAATTCCACTTTTGGTTTAATGGACTTCGAAACATACTTTCGCTTTGTAGATCCTTTACATATTAGTAAATATATATCAGAAATTCTATTTGACATAATCGAAAGTTCAAGCTTACTTTTATAAAATTGCTCTAACAGTCTGCAAAAACTAATAAGCCGGATCTAATTCGAAAATGAAGGAACAACGCAGTCTGCAACATTAACTGAATTAGATAATTTTAGCTTAGCTTTTACTGTCCGTTATACATTAAACGTGCATGCATAAATGTATTATGCGCATACGCACACGCATATGTGCAGCCTTAAAGGTCTTACACGCATGCATAAACGCCTATGCGTATGCGTCAACGCGATGCATGCGCAGAAAGTTTGTAGCTTTGAGGTCCGGATTATAGATCATTCTGGATTATGGGTGTCCAAATTAACGACTTTTGCTTGTATTTTAAAAATTGATATTTGCATTTATAAATCAATTAAATTTTGGATGTGTTATCAATGCTGCTATATAATGTAGAGATTCCCCTTTAATTGGACACGATGAAATAATATTTTAATGCATTGTATTGTGCATACATATATATTTTTTTGATGGAATGTTTTCTGCTCTGTAACGTATTTTAAAATTTGAAGAAAATTTTTCAGCTTCGAGTGTTTCGAGGTACTGATAGATGACGTATGACTATTTTAAGCTTAAGAAGTTTGATTTGGTGTATTTGAATATGGCAAAGCACTCGAGTGCTATCTGTCTAAGGGGAGGGATGCCTTTGCGAAGGACTTTATAAGGGAAAGTGGCTTGTATATAAGTTATACATAGTGAAAACTATGAAAAAGATCATGCAGCCATGCAGTTTATCAATTGCACTTACCTTACGTATTAATTGCTCAAGTAATATTTTATGAAATAAAATACAAATAGCAGTATATATATATATATGCTGCTATAAAAAATCTATTGTAATGTATAAATAAATCTATTAAAATCTATTGTAATGTATATACATATATATATATGTATATGTATACATTACAATAGATTTTTCTAATTTCATAAGGAAGCACTAATGATATTTAAATTTATTGTTTTGGAATTCTATAGTGTAACAGCTTTTAATAATCAGAGCTAGCTGCAGCATTTTATGAAAGATTTATGTTACAGAGTATTTGTTTATAGTTTCTCTGTGTCTCTATGTCTCTTAGAGGTTTCTCTATGTAATATTCATTACAAAGGTAAGACTGAATTCATGAAAGTAATGTACCTGGAACTGCTACTGATGCTATTCCAGCATATAAATGCTATTCCAGCATATAATAAGATTTATTTGTTAAATACAAGTATTGGCTATTCTGCCCACTTCTTATATCACTGCAGAAAGAAATTTTTTTTCAGCTTTAGATGGTTACAGTTGTATCGAACGAAACAGCAAATGAATCTGAATTAAATAAACATAGCTTAGTAGCTATTCACCAGAACATAAATAAAATTAATAAGGAAAATTCATTTGTGTTACAAAGAATCTTCATTTTGTTAGCAACAAATTATAATTTACTTAACTGTGTAGCAAAAAGAACTGAAAATAAATATGCTGTCGACTGTATGTGATATATTCTGTAATATTTAATTTTTTATTCATTTTTGTAACCTAACAAATTATCAATAATTTAACAATCATACAGTTCCAAAGTCATATTTATGTTAATAGCTTTTTAGTTATTAGGAGTTCAAACAACAGCAATTATTATTCATTTTTAAAACTTTGTTGTTCTAGTTCCAAAAGTTTTATCATAGAATCCTCTTCGTCAGTTGCAAGAATTAAAAAAGGATGCACCTTTTTTTCACTCTTGCAGCTCAAGAAGAAGGTTTTGTAGTAAAACTTTCAAAACTAGTATTGCGATTTTTTTAAAAATTAGCAGTAATTGCTGTTATTTGTATTGCTGACAATTGTTATTCAACATGTTACTTTTACTTTATTGGATTAACTTTTCAATTATTTCAATTACATAAATGTTATGCAAATTGCTTTTCAGCATTTTATTTTTCAGTTGTAACTATAGAAGCACACATTTGCATAATTTTAAGCAAAATTATGTGTCATTGCATGTAAGCCATCCATTGTTTTCGTCTCCTTCAAAAAAATCCTAAATATACTCCGGTCATGAAATATATCAACTGCTTTTAAAGAAACAATAGTATTTATACAAAGCATTAAGTAGACATTAACACAGAAAATTTCAGTTATCCTGTAAAGTTAGAAATTAAATTCAAATATCTTATAAAATATAACTAGAATTTTGATATAAGTATGCAACATAAAATTATTAAAACTGTGATACAATACTTTTAAAGTTAACATATAATTGCACATATAAGTGTATAGTTAGCATATGTAAGTATTATAGTTATTTTAATTATAAAAATATATGTGACTGTATAAATTTTTAACTGAAATTTATGGATAAATGAAATAAAACTTGAATTATATTATTTTAAGTATTTTATTTATTTAAAATTTTTCCTTTTATAAGCATATGTTTTCCCATTAGATGCTCAGACGGCTACTTTGGAAATCCTCAAGTTCCTGGAGGATACTGTCAGAAATGTGATTGCAGTGGAAATGCTGACACTTCTGCTGAGGGTTGGTGTGACAGTTTAACCGGACAATGTCTAAAATGCCTGGGTAACACAGGTGGATGGAACTGTGATGAATGTCTTTCGGAACATTATGGCGATGCCAAACAACGCTTTTGTCAACGTAAAGCAATTTTTTTTTTTACATTTTCATCTCTAAGAAGCTAATAATTTAATTCAAACATCTAAATAAAGAAATTAATATCATCTGTTGTATTTCAATTTACTATATGTTATATAAATATATCAACATCTAAATAAATAAATTACAAATTATCTATTGTATTTCAATTTATTGTTATTGTTAGTTTAATTAAAATATTTCCTGGCAGTTTTTTTTTTTTTTTTTTTTTTCCTTTCAGAAAAACATGCTTACACAAATGTTTAAATACTTGATTATGTTATCAAAAAAGTTTTTTGAGTTTCTCTCCAAGTGCATCATTATAAAAAACATAATCAATCAATAATTGGTTATATTTTGAACTCTGAAAATGTAATGTAGGACTGCTTTATGAAAATATCAAATTAAAATGTATAAGTATTCTAAGATTTTATTCAGGGAAGATTATTAATTTATTAAATTTTATTGTTATTAGTAAGTATAAGTTTTGTCAAAAATTTTGAATTAATGTTAAAAATTTTAGAATTATTTTTGCTAACAAGATAAGAATTTTGGAGTTATTTTGTAAATAAGATTATTGTTTAAAAATGTGAATTTTAAAGAATTTTCTAATTATTTTGAGAATGATGTGTATATGAATATAAATGAAATAATTATTAAATGGCAGAATATTAAATATTGTTAAAATTAATATAGAATTAGCAAAGATTCAGAAATTGAGTAATAGTAATAAAATTTATATGAGAATTTAATTTAATTAAGAGTAAAATGTATTAAAATATGTTTGAAAGAGTACTGGTTCAGAAACAGAGGCTTGTTTTACCTCTGCATATTTGTTCCATCTACCCTCCCCATATAATATAAACTTTGAAGGCTCCTATTTTTTAATTTTTTATACTATTTTTTATTTTTATAAAGATTTTTATGTTTGTTCAAAATGGTGGTGTTAAGATAATGGAAATATGGTGTGCATTCAATGGTCAGTTACCTTTAAATAAGAAATGGAGGCCTTTATAAATAACTGCCAAAGCAACCTTTAACCACTCATGAAAATTTAGTACATGAGTTCGTTAAAGTGGTGATGCCTAAATAACTGGATATGTATGTGCTAGGAGAAAGCTGTGGGGTCTTCCAGTTTGTGTAAAATTAGAAAACTTGTAAAATGTAATAATAAAAGTAAAAACCATAATTTCAATAATGCTATTACAAATGATAAAGTATTACTTATAAATGTGAAAAATATGATGTAAAATTTTAAGATTTGTGATTATTCAAAATAATGAATGGGTATATAAAATTTTTATAATTGTGATACTGTCTGAAAATATTTTTAGAAATCCTTCCCTGAAGTAGCAAAATTGTTTCCCGAAACAAGATCTTTTTACAGATTGGACTCAAATCTTAAGAGGACTTTAAAATTCTATTTCAAATAATAATTGTCTGATTAATCTTTTGCATATGTTCCATAGAACACTGTTGGCCATAACTCTTAATAGTTAACGGTTCTCAATATTCTTTTACTGCATACGTATCATTTTCATATTATTTCTATTGTGCTTTATTGATGTGGTTGAGTTTTTTTAATTATCTTACTGTGTGTTCTCTTTTAGTTATTTTGAAATTTTTTATGTAAATATGTATGTATTTATGTATGTTTTATTTTTCACTTACAGCTTGTGCCTGCAGTCCACTTGGTTCTATAAGTCCTCAGTGTGATGTTTCTTCTGGACAGTGTGTTTGCAAACCTGGTGTTATTGGCAGAACCTGTAATCGTTGTGCTGTGAGTTTCTTAACTTTTGTGCAGAATTTCACGTTGGTCCTATATTTTTTTTAAATTCATGCTCTGTAAAATCCAATGCCATAGTTATTATGAAATAATTTTACTTATTAATTGATCAAATTATGCAGAGTAAAATGTCTTGAAATTCCATAACATAAATGGTAAAATAGTGCATTTTATTCTTTAAATATGATTGTATTATGAGCTTATAATTGAAATTTTGTGCTATGAAAAGATGCATGCTATATTCTAATTTTTCATCTTTTTTTTTTTTTTTTTTTTGTAAAAATATTATATATGGCACAATGCATTATGTATTTTGTGAACAGTGGTTTCAAAATCAAACTGAATGTGGGCCAAATGCTCGATTTGAAAACAGATGGCAGGTCAGAACTTTTTTTAGCAAAATTAAAAAGATTAAATAAATTAACAAAACAATAAAGTAAAATAAATTATAAATTTTATTTACTGAATATTTATAAAATTAAGCATAAACAATAATAACATTAAATTTTATTTATTTTCTATCAAGTCTAAAGGCTGGTATCTGCGAGAAATTATATTGGTTGTGCTTTGTAACTCAAATGCATTGCCATCTAAATACTAAATTTTAGACAGGTAATTCCAGTATGTTCAATTAATCACTAAATAACTTATTTTTAATCTTAAACAGAAAACCAGAAATTTCAAAATACTGAAGTGCTACCAGCTGGTGGCTGGGAAACAGACTGTACCATTGGGAGAAATTCCTCTGCATCACCCCCCTAGTAATGGGGCTTGATCTATAAGTATACAGTGATAAAGGAAAAGCCACAACCTATTAATTGTATATTTTTTCTTCAATAGCAGTCATGCATATAAGCTCAGTCCATATTTTTATATATCTAAAACTATAAGTTCTGTATTTGCAACAAATGCCTAATTAAAATGTATTCACGGGCTGTATAAAATTGCTTTTGCGAGTCACGAATTTTAGACCACTGCTTTAGAAGAAAATTCTCAAACATAACTGGTTCAGAAGATTTTTGTAGAAATTGTTATAAAATTAATCATAAAAATTTCTCAGAAACCTCCCTCCCTTTAATTAATATTTCAGGAAGGGTACTGAAACCATTTAAAAGTCCTTTATATGAGACTGAATTATTTTCAGCTTCACAAATTAAAACTTTTTTTTTTTTTTTTCTTTTCCCTTTCAGTATCAAATTTTATCTTTCACAGTTTTGTTCATTTCATTCAAGGGGATGAATGCCAGAAGTTATGTTTATTATAATAATGCTATTGTTGCATGTGTACAGGTTTGTAATAGATTGAATGCACTCAGGTCTGATGATAGGTTAATAAAAGTTATCTTATCAACAGAAACACTTCAGAATTCTGGAATTTTCCACAGAAATACTTGTGTAGGTGTTCACAGTATCACAGAGTACAATCAGTAGCTATACTCCAAACTACTAAGAATATTAAACACAACACAATGCAATGCACATCTAAAGAGAAAGCTAATGGAGATATCTCAGTACCAAACCTTCACACTATCATATCATACAGTATTAGTACTTAAAGCTGTATACATGATTTGGTGACATTCTGTAGCTAACTTTTTGCAACAGGACTGGAAGTAAATGATGGTTTTAACGTAGTGTGATAGTTCCATTTCAGACACCTTGTATTTAATGATAACGATATTGTTTATAAATTTCACAATACAATGTTTTAAATCAAGTCTCTTTCTTTCAAATGCCAAAAATCGTTTTACAAAATATGATTAAATATGCTAATGCAAACTGTTTGCGCATACGATATTTATGGTGGTGGGAAACTTTCGCTAAAAACCTGATACTTATAACGTACTTGGTATTCATTGCAATAACCTCTCACATCCTAAAGAAAAAGGATATTACAGTGAGTAGTGGTATTACAACATAAGTAGATTTCATGTACTGTTATAAGTTTCCGATGGGCCTTGTAAGGCATAATCACTAAATAATACTCATTTTAATAATTTTTTGTATAATTAATATAATTTTTAAATATTTTCTTTTTCTTAACAATTGAATCTGTAGAAACGACTATAAGATATTCGTCAGTGTTTTAACACTAAATGGCGGAAAATCTTTACCGACGGAACGGCGGAGGTGTCTTTTTGACCTTCGTAAAGTACTGAAATAACCAACGTTAGAACAATTTTAAATGCCATATATTCCACAAATTTTATTTTAGGTGGCATTCTAACTTAATGTTTCAAATCACATGTATTTATTTTAATATCAAGTACATTAAATGCATACTGGAGGTTTATACTACAATACTCAATTAAACTCATTTGATAAAGAATTGATTTCAAATAAATGGTTCACAATTAAAACTAATGTTTAATAAAAAACACAATTTATTATAATATTTTTATGTAACTTACTAGGAGGAGGATCACTTCTAAATCCAGAATGAGAAATGTTTTCCTAAATTTTTGTATCTTCTATTGTACTGAATTTGTGTCAAGTTTGTTTTTGTTTTCATTAATGTTGTTAAAAATATTAGAGATATAACAGTTATAAAATTAATAGTTATACAAAAAAAATCTTTCAATTTTTCCGCACACACTTTGGAAACAAGATGCCACATTTCTTGAGCTTTTTTTCCATTGCATCGTACTTGACACTTTTTTTCTCTTTATAATCATTTTCTTTTCAATGTGTTTTTCTGAAGACTCAGAGATCTTTGGAGTTTTGAAGCATATGTACCACTCTTAACTCCTCTCCAATTTCAGTAGAATTCTCTCTGTTTAAGGTTGTTTCCTGTACCTTTGATAAATTATCCAGAGTTAAAGCGCTGATTTAAATATTGAAGAAATATGTACAGCCATTGTATAGAAGCCGTTTAACTGAATATTTTGGCTCATCTGATCACGAATACCCCACCCTACTTTTTTGCGTTAAATGCTTTGAATCGGGCGACTTTTCTTGAGACTGTCTTCAATTTACAGTACAATTTCATGAGCTCATAAAAACGCTTTTTGTTTCTTTTTCCTTGATATATATGGTAATTATTATCATGTTCTACTATTGTTTGAAAAAAGATTAACTACGCATATTTTTCAAAGCTAGGAATTTTTTCTTCTTTTTTTTCATTGCGATGACCATATTTGTATTTTTTTTTGATTTTTACATTTCTGCTAATTAATGCAGTAAAAAAGTTATCCTGGTAAATATCCCTCCTTTGTTTACTGTGGCTCCGTTAATTTATGACAACATTTTCCACAAACGTATTGAGATTTGTTGTTTCATCTTTTCCTAGATAAGAATCCATTCAGAGGTTTTAGTATCATGTCCCAGAACCAAAATTTTTATTCCAAATTTGTCAGGTTATTGGCATATATTCTGTAAATCTAACACCTAGCTAGACGGGAGTAATTGTTCATTAACTGTTTGTTTGTTTCTGGCCGTAGCACATTTTGCAGTTGGATGATCCCAATCTAATATAGTAGATCTTTGTTGCCACAGGAATATAAATCTGAGCCCTTTGGCTCCCATTACTCCTCAACATACAATATAAAGACAAAAGCGTCTAACTCAGCCAAGATAACTTCTAGTCTTTATTTCCAAGTTTGCCATGAGCTTCATTCTGTACATTTTTTAATGCACAAGATATCATCATCAATAAAAGCTGAAAGCACTAGACACTTTGTCCTCAGAAACACAACTCCTTTGCAAAAGATTTGGCCCACTGTTTCTTTTAGAACATTATAAGCCAGAACATGGCCACAGACTGATTTTTGGAATTATTTCATTTCATAGTGTTTCCAGGAGCTGTAAAACATTTTGCAAACCCTGATCCATTTTTGCCTTTTTTTTTCTGCTTGATTTTTTGTTTGCTCTTCGCGTCCTCGGATTCACTATAGTTGTGTTCTAGAATTCATCTCAGTTTTTTCTACAAAAATTATCAATTTCAACCCCCGTCAGACTCATTTTCAGATAGCTTCCTGCACAATTTTTTTAATTTCTTCATCCTAGACCTCTTTTTCCCGCTTATTAACATATTTTGTAAAAGTTTAAAAAGGGTCCTACTATCAGAAAAAGATAAGATATTTTAGCATGGATTCTCACGCATAAAGGAAATGGTCATAATGAACTTGATGCAAATTCATATGTCTGAAATACTGATTTAAGATTACAAGAAAACATCTTCTAACTGTTATCCTGCATTAAGTAAGCTGAACTAACAAATGGAAAAATACATCTGTAAATAACTATTCTGAAAAGAATGTAAGCATGAAAACCCTGCTCTACCTTCCTTGCAATATTTTCTTCAGAATAGATAATTACAAACAAGGACAAGAACTTATGTACATTACAAAGTTGAGATCACTCAGATTTTTATCCCGCCTTAGTAAAAAATGAATGCAAAAAAATTCTTTATCAGTGATGCTTTCATGGTTGACATGTCTCGAGCAGAAAGAGGGATAAAAGTAAGGGGTTCACCTCCCTCCATCCATCGTCTAGAATACATGCCATATTTCAAAACACCTAGAATCTGAAGATTTTTTTTACAAATATTTGTTATCTATTAAAGAAAGTAAAAAAATTCAAACGATTTCTTCCACTTCCAAAAAAAAGTTAGAAAGTGTACTTCTGTGCCGTTCTATGTCTGTTTTTATTAGAAACAGACTTTTAAAAGATTCTTAGGCATCACAACCTTTTTGGGCTACAATTCAATCACCAAAATGTTATATTGAAGACTTTGGGTCTGTAATCTAGTAAGAGTTTTATTGAGAAAAATAACATCATACACTTCAAACTTTAAACTTAAAATTAAAAATTTTAATTCTAATTATTATAAAAAAAATAAACATAACTGAATGACCTTTATTTTTCTCTTTGATATCAAGAGTACCCTGATTATGAACGACTTGTGATGTCAATTTAGTCAAGTCTGGCTCATAGTTAGTCATCTTAAGACAAATACAAGCAGCTGAATTTTCAGTAGTTAACCTGCTCCTATTCATACTTAATGTAAATTTTATGTGTAGAATACTTGCTTATATTTGTAGCTTGAAACGAATGTGGACAAAATGGCAAAGCAGTTTTTTGAAATTATGGATTATCAGTCACTGCTGCCAAAGTTATTGATTTCTCCTTGAAATTATAATAATGCATATTCATTGCTGCAACCTTGCAAAAATATTATTATTATTAGTTATTTTTCAGTTAATATTTGTATGTATTCTTTAGGTGTTTATTTCATATTTATATTTCATATTTTTATATATTATACTTTATTTTTGAACTCAGGTAGGTCACTTTAAATTATGAAATGGATCATCAGTAATCCACAGGTCATAGGTTGCTGAGGTTTGGTCTAGACATTCACTTCAAAATAAAATAGTATTGTTAAATTTTTTTAAAAGTTAAATAAGTTTTTTTAAATGAATTACTTAACAGAAAAATGTTTTCATCAAACAGAAAAATGTTTTCATCAATTCAGATATTCATTTCAGGTAATTCCAGTATGTTCAATTAACCACTAAATAATTTACCTTTAATCTTAATCAGAAAACCAGAAATTTCAAAATAGTGAAGTTCTACTAGCTGGGGGCTAGGAACCAGACTGTACCAATGGAGAGAATTCCTTTGCATCACCCTAGTAATAGGGTCTGATCTACAAGCATACAGTGATAAAGGGAAAGCCCTGAAACCTGAAAATATAAAATTAAACCTGAAAATATAAAATTTGATGAATGTATATGCAAATTTTTTCCATAAGTTTGAGGAAAAAATTTTGAAAACTCCTTGAATTTATTTCATTGAAAATTGGGTAATACATATATCAAGGTAATCAATGATATTAATTTTGTTGAACTTGGTAGGCCATAGAGGGCATTGTTATACAATGTTTGAAATAGGTATTTTGCATAGTGTAATTATTTGAATGAGATATTTAATTTTCATAGCATTAATTCTTATAAATATTTTTTTAGGATGGTTATGGAAATTTAGAAGCTGGCTGTGAGCCATGCAAATGTAATAGAATTGGATCAAGATCAGAAATCTGTGATCCAGTGTCTGGCTATTGCAGTTGCAAGCCTGGAGTATTTGGTATTATTTGTGACTCATGTTTAGAAGGATACTTTGGATTTTCGATGCAAGGTTGCCAAGGTTTGTATATCATTTTATTATTCAGTTTAAAAGTTGCAAGAAGTACATTTCAAATTAAACTTTAATAGCTGATAAAGTTTATCTTTTGCTTGATGCAATTTCAGATTTTAAAAGTATTGGTGGGATTTTAAGATATAATTGAGTCATCTTTTGCAGAAATAAATTATTCTATGCAAATACATTCTTCATTCAGTCATCTTAAATACATAATGTAGCAAAGGAGTTGGTAAAAAAAGTATTTATTTTCCTCTGTAAATCTAATTAGCTATTATTATATATATATATATAATACAATTGACAGTTAAGCTAATGTGCTTATGAAAAATTATGCCCTTCTGAAACTGAAAACTGTATCTTGAAGAGAATTTAAAATTGTGTGGGTTTTTTTTTTTTTTTTTTTTTCGAATGACATTAATGCAGAATGGAAGCCAAGTGTTACTAACATCATTTGGTTTCTAAATATTTCAGATTTTCCTTTTTCTTTTGTTCTGAATATTGAATTCTCCATCAGTTATTTTCATCAGTGTTATATATATATCAGGGAGGTTTATAGACATATTATTGTCATCAGTGCATATTTTATCGTGTTTTCTTGCTTCTTTTAATAGTTACTAGCAAATTAATTGCAGTATTATATTAACATGTATAATTTTAAAAAAATGTAATGTACAGTGTATCATATTTAGCTGAAAAGGTATTAATTTGTAATTTTCTTGCTTTACCTTTTAGCTGGTTTTATTCAAATAGATATTCTCAAAATAGAAAATCAGCATAAATATCAAATTTTAACATTTATTTTTAAAAAACATGCACTTAGATTATCCTAGCCTATATAAATGGCTGAAAAATTTTCTTTTTTCGTCAAGAAACTGTTTGAAAGCATTTTTAAAAGAAATTGTTATATTCTAAAATTTTAATCAGATTTATCTGAGAAATGAAATGTTGAAGGATTTTTTAATTCACTAAAATATATCACATAAACTGGTTATCAATACTGATAAAGCATCGCAAAGAAATGAGTTGAATTATTTGCCACCTGTAACAATTAAATGTGTCAAGAATCCAACAATTTACACGTGTTTGTGCACGTTCTGTTTTAGTATAATAATTTAGAATTTCAGTCAGGTAACTGGTTTACTTGAAAAAAAAATGTATGTTAAAAGTGGGAATGTTTCTATGTATAACAAGCTAATGTCCAAATGTGTATTTAACTTTTTCATTTGGCATGGTTAATCGACCATTATCTTATATCAATATTTTATTCTTCAAAATTGCATTTATTTTTCACAGTGCTCTGGTCATATGCAGCAGCCATCTTTTGCATTTTGACACAGGCGATTTTATATTTATGTGTATACTATTAACAGTTTCTTAAACAAATTTTATCCAAAATACTGCTTTTCTTCACATTTATCCGTTCAGTTCTGCGGACCTATGTCGCGTTTAATACAAGTTTTCTAAGTTTAATTAAAAATTTTTGGCCTTACTAAATTGTTCACAAACAGGTTATTTTTACATTTCTTGAGGAAACAACCCCTTGATGAAGCTGTCATGAGAAATGTAATTTACCCCCTTTTTTAATGATATCTTCATTCTTTGATTTTTTGCAATTTTTATTTTTGTTTATATACAAGTTCCTTTTCTTTTTTGTTAAGTGTTACTCTTTTCTTCTTTTTTTTTTTTTTTTTCTTTTGTTTTGTTTTTACATGCTGTTTCAATGGAATATGGATTTAAATTTACTATTTAATTAAAAAAATTTCCATGTTATATCACACATTTATTTATTTATATTTATTTACATTAAAAAGCATTTAAACATTTCTTGTTACTTTTCTTATCTTTCCTGTTTTTATTTATTTATTGGTTAGCAAGGGAAGAAATATTAACAGTGAAATAAAAAAAACCAAATAAACATTTATCATTATTTTCTTAAAATAATTGCATGAAAATGGGAGTGGAGGCAGAAAGGTTTCCAAGACTGCTATATAGAATTCATGAATAGATCCAAATTTATGATACAACTTAAAAGCTCAAAAGCAATACTGATGATTAAATTGTCTGGATTTTATTTCTCTCCTTAAAATCTAGAGCACTGCATATACTCATATTTAAATCTGTTAAGGAAGAAATTATGTTTTTATCGTTTATACAAAATAAATATATTTCCATTAGACAATTTTTATTTAATGTATAGGCAAATATTTTTATCTAATTTAAATTATTCCCAGTTTTAGAAATGATATTGACATTTTTAATTTGGTTATTAAAATGAAATATTTTAATGATAAATGATATGAGTATTTTTAAAATTTTCAGAATTTCTTAATTCAACAACAATATTTTTTTTTTTTTTTTTTTTTTAAGTGCATGGATTTAGTTTAAGTTAAAATATATATCTCTCAGTTTTTTATTATATTAATTCATAAATTAATTTTATCTTTTTCATAGAATGTGATCGTTTGGGATCTTTAAGTGTTCAGTGTGATGAGAAAAATGGACAGTGCTCATGTAAGCCTTATATTGTTGGGAGAACATGTGATAGATGTGAAGTATGTATACATATATTCTTTTTAACTTGTGTGAATTAAAATTAACTTAAATGTATTATTTAGTATATTTATTTCCATTTATGAGCAGAAAGAAATTTTGTTTTTTATTCATTGAATTTAAACAACCAAATTAAGTACATATTAATGCACTCAAAAGGCAGCTATTATTTCTATGAGTGTTTTGTTCTTTGTATTTTTAAAGAATAAATTTTTTGTAACAGCAGAAGTTTACTATTGGTTAAAATATGACTAAATTTGTAGTCATACAGATACACCGATGGTTCATTATGTTGCACTATGCTATATCTTAAAGTTTGGAAAACTAGCATTACCCTATCATTTTTAATTTAGCAACCCCCATAACTTACCAACTAATATTAATTATTTTTTGGTTTAAATGTATAGAGCACGCATAATTTTAGTTAATGTTAAAAAAAGATTTTTCCATTAAGAAACATTTTTTTATCTATGATATAGCAAATCTTGTACCTAGATTTTCTTCTTTGTTATCAACAATATTTTTTTGCTATGAAAATTCAAAAAATTTTTAAAATAAAACTTTTTAAAAATTATAGGTTTTTTAAAAAAAAAAGAGTTTGTATAGAGATGGTTTATTGGAATTATCAATCTGGTGTGGCTGGAAGAATGCCCATGTTAATAGGAATATCTTTAGCCTCAGTATGTGATAAAAATACAGGTCAATGCAATTGTAAGCCTGGTGTTGGCGGAAAATTTTGTGATCAATGCTTACCTGGCTATTTCATGTTTGGATCTCATGGATGTAGACGTAAGTGCACTTGTACTTATATATTATTTTTTCCTTTGAACTGAAATGTTATAACATGCAAATCTTATTTCTTTGTTGAAAAAACACACAGTTCGACTGGATTCAATCAAACCCAAAATTTTACCCACAACCCTATCAACTATTCTATAACACAACAACCTTTGACACTGTTCTTAGAACTGTTTTAATGTGTTAAAGTGAAATTATGTAAAATTTTAATAAAATTTTAAAAACATGAGAGTCATTTTCTCTTGAAATTTCAACTTGTATTTGTTTCTTATTGCTAAACTGCTTTGAATTAAGCGAGCCTTTCCTAGATTATTTAGCAATGCTGCGTACATGGATATGAGTTAGCATTCATTATAACATCTCTTTGCATTCTAATTTAAAGTATGTTGTGCAGAATGGTCATGGCAGCACAAATGAATTTAATGTATTCTTATTAGTATAGGGCTTTTTGCATCAGTTTGATTTGCTTAGTGCTTTTAAAAAAAAAAGAATATTGTGATACCCAGAACCCTGTCATAGTAGATGCTGTCATTCTTGATTTAAAATTAATGCACTGTGGGTACGAGATCTTGTACTCCTTGATACCTGGGCATGTAGCCATAAAAGGTAATGAGCTAGCAAATGCCATAGCAAATTCATCAATCGATTTATCCAGTTGGGCTGTCCCTCCTGACCATATTAGCAGGGTTATCAAAAAGAAATATTTAATAAATGGCAGAAACACGACATGGTAAGATAGATAATAAGTTAAGAAGTGTGAAAACTAGAATCGAATACTGGGATGCTACTAGGAACAGAAAGAGGAAGTCCTACTTATTTGACTTAGAACTGGTCACTGACGGAATTACACACAATTATTTACTAAAAGCAGAGAGTGAACTGATTTGCCCCTACTATAATGCTATAATCTCAGTTCATCATTTTTTAACTAAGTGTCCATATTTTAAACGACCTTGGTTGACACATTTTAACAAATGCAACTTGCCCCTGATGAACTTGGCTGTTCAATCAGGAAAGTGGTGAATGCCAGTTTGTTTCAATACCTGAAAAGATTATTTATTATTTAATTGATTATTTTTTTGCATATTTTATCTTTTATTTTTAATAAATTTTAGTTTTGATTTGTACCGGTCAAATCTGATCTCATTATCTGAATTATAAGAAACTTCATCTCAGCATTCATCATTTTTTAGCTTCTTTAGATTTTATGCATTTTCATGGTTTTAATCTTGTCTGTTTGTCTATTTTGGCTGTATGTCTCTAATTTGTGTGTGTGAAAGCATATGGCATGTATTCGGCACAGATAGCCTTTTAGGTTTTCTGCCAGTAAACTCACTAAGACTACCACCACTTTGCACCATTTCTTTTGATGGAGTAGTGGCTATAATGATTGTTTGTTATAATGAGCACTGACTGTAATTACAACTGATTGCTATCTACATGTACATTATTCTTTTGAAAAAAGTGAGAGAAAAGAATATTTATGAATGTCAATGTTTAACTGATAATTGTTAATAAGTTAAGTGTAATAATATATTTAAAAAACAATTTTGGAAATTTTTCATGACGCACAAAATGAGATTGAACAGCGAGTCAAAAGACAACATTTAGTGAGAAAAATTAGTTGTCACCTTTTTTCTTTTGACAAAACAACCCTTAAACGTGTGTCTTTTCCGCATGTTTTTTTTTTTGTGCTGTTTACTTTTAAATATTAATAATAAAAAAAAATTATTAGCAAACATTTTTTTAAATCTTGTTTCTTTTTAACTCAGAATAAATGCTTTTCCTCCACCCCTTTTTAAAAATTTTATTTAATACAGTTTGGTTTATAGAATTTTATAAATTTTCTATTAGATAATGTCAGAGCAACAATATGAAATATTTCCATCTTGCCTTTTTCAGACTCTATAATCTAATTACAAATATTTTAATATATTAATATGCCTTTGCAAAAATTCAAAATATCAGATAATGTCTAATCAGAAATAGCTGTTTGCTACCAAAGAAAATTCCAAACCTGTATGAAAAATTGCATTTTTTTGCAAGATGCTTTGATATGGTATCGAAGATATATGAGTAATAAATTCTTTACATTTAAATTAAATTTTGCTTTTTTCTATTATTAATATTTCATAAATCAGTTAAATGAATTTTAATCAATCTTCAGAACTGCAATGAAACATAACTGAATGAAAGGCATGTCAATTTCGTTTTTATACATTCAAGACCAACCAACTAACTTCTTTGTAATTGATGGTATTTAGTGTATATTCTGTGTTACCAACATCCTATTCAGTTATTAAATCTTTTTCATTACTTGAACCCTATTTTGAATGTATCTCAGTTTAGCACATATAAATCTAAAGTTTTTAATTACTACAATTACATCCTTTTCTAAATGTATATACATATTATATGATGAATTAAATGGTTCTCACAGAGTTTCTGAATTATGTTTTTAAATCAAGAAATATTTTGGAATATATTTTAATGAAGTTAAACAGAAAGATAGGCAAAATGTAATAAATAAAACATGCTTTTAAGATTATTTAACTACTTTATATATAACTTATGCTTTTAATTATAGGTTTTATTTTTAATTATAGGTTGTGAACCTTGTGACAGACCAGGCCATATATGTGATCCAACCAATGGACGTTGTGTTTGTCCTCCTTATGGACAATGTGGATTTGTGTTCGAAGGCATGGGGCTATCCACTTATGGTGCAGGGCAGGGAGGAAAATATTCTCTCTTTATTTATGGAGTGAAACATAGGGTACCATTATAAATTAATTTTTATAAGTTTTTGATACAAAAAATTAAGAACTGGAAAATTAGATATGAATATAAGCTGTAAATGAAGTTAGTAGTCATGGTGGCCTAGTTAAGTCATCAAATATTACATGATTACTGAACCTGATCACAGGCAAGAGCCAGGGCCAAATGATTTTGCTGAGAAGTGACAGCTAAGTAAAGATGTATTTTGCTTTGGGTTATTAATATATTTCATTCATAAGGGGTGCAAATTGTCCTGATCACCTAAAGCACTGGTCTGAAACTTATAGTCCACAATTATGTATTTGTTGCAAATATAGTGTTGTAAAGTTTTCAAGATTTTATTTGAAACCCTACTGTATATTATTTTCATTATCATTAGAAACAAATGGGAGTAATGCACCAAAGAATCTGTAAATGGTGTTAATTAATTTATAATTTCATATAAATCTTATTCAAAGATTTGAAGATGCAGATTTCGTTAACTTTCATTCATACTTGTCAAAAAGAGAACAAGATCAGTTACAAATTTCTGTGCTAAGTATAACTGCGTTGTTTGAGAATGCATTAATATGTGAAAAGCTTTTTTTTTTTTTTTTTTTTTTTTTTTTTTTTTTCCACGTTTGAAAACTGGTAAGGAAAGAACTCAACTGATGGCTTGGCATAAGGGTACAACCTTGATCAGAATCAGTACGGCATTAAGTATCAAGCTATAGTAAGAAATGAAGAGGTTTATTATTATTTATGTGTCAAAAATATACATTTTAATTTACATGTCAAAGAAAAATTTAATAAATTACAAAATAAATAAATAAAATAAAAATAAATTGCTTTATTTATTCTTATATTTTGTCTCATTTGGAAAGTTCATAATTTGTTTATTTTTAGTTTAAATTAAAGAACATTATTTAATGATTAATTAAACATATTAGAATTAATTGGAGTAAGTGCCAGCCTGAATAAATAATATTTAGTTATCAATATGTTTGACTTACAAAGTTGTAATCAACAAAATGTTTATTTAATGATTAATTAAACATATTAGAATTATCTGAAATAAATGTCAGTCTGATATATTAAAATTTTGTTGTCAATACGTTTGACTAACAAAGTTTGTGCAGGTACCACACTTTAGATTTTCAATTGAAAATTAATGTAAATTTGAATTTTTTTCTGCCTTTTGATTATTATTAATAATATTAAACGGTTTGAGCAAAATAGTAGTTTATTTTTTATTATTTTTTGATGAAAAATTTTTTATTTTTTTTAATTCATGCATTCCGCCTGCATGCAGTCTGAGTTGGACCAAGTATCAAAATGCTAGAAGCGGGCCTGATGCTGCATGTGTTGCAATTCACATTTTGTAGACTACGATGTAAAACTGTATTTATTTGTGATTATTAACATACATACATTGTACTTATAATTAAAGATATATATTATAAATGTATATAGTATATACATTTATGTGCATTGTATATATATACAGTACAAAGTCTGATCCGACACATCAGGACTTTGGCGATTCCGGTAGGGTTTTTCCGGATTATAGATCATCAGTTTAAATTGGCGAGCATGGGCGCGGAAGTTATTCAATAAAAATATGAAACCGTAATTTATGAATAAAAAGCAATTATGATCTAAAGGGTATCAAATTTTACAAAAAAAAAAAAAAAAAGCGT